AATAGTATAGCAACGTTATTTCTGCCCTGTTAAAGGGGGAGTCCACAGATTTTACAAAATTCTGCATAATTAAATGGTTAAGATGTAAACAGAGTCATTCAGAGTGGTCTGGTGTGAAACACTCAGTTATAGAGAAACTTACCGAGTCAGAACTGTTCACAGTGGTGGTGATAGGAACCAGACGTCCACCTCTAAAAGCTCCTCACAGAAAGTTACTACATGAAATGGTTATGAATTCACTGCCTGATGACTGAGACACTGTTTTATGATAGTTCTGAGAAGATTTTGGCCTTAAACTCCATTCATGGTGGAGGGATACATAATATGCAGGGTGTTGTGAGGCAAAATAGTCCCCAAAGAAAACTTATTATTTCAGATTTTCCACTATTTTCCATCATCAACATTCCATATAAACTCAGAAGACTCGTGTAGGTTCACTGGTGGTTCTGGATAGTAAATAAAATGTCTATATTTGTGTTGTAGTCATGGCGACCCCTGGTTCCTATCACCACCACTGTAAAGACATCTGAACCTTTTCACACCAAAACACACTCTGATTACATCTCACACACTGAATTATGGGGGAATTTCGAAAAACAGGTGGAGTTCCCCTTTTAATGGAGGAGTTGTTTCTCTTGTTTCGGCACCCCTGAAATGAAGAACCTGGATAAAAGACACGGGGTCGCCAAAAACCCCAAAGCACCTGTGCTGAAAAAGGCTTTAACCTGGCCGCTGTGAGCTGCTCTACTAACATTCTTGGAGGAAAAAAAACGAGAAAGGTGTGTAAAAGCATGACGTCATTCGTCCAGCATCCTCCCGGCTGCAAAGCTGCACATCATATTATATATGCAAAAACACCCCAATCAGCTCAAATTCAGTATTATTTGGTAAAATATGAGCGTGCAAAACAAAAAATAAATGTATAATCCACACATTTGGCCCTAAACTAGGCTGGGCGTGCATGGCAGAGCCTTATAATTAAAAAATGATCATAGATGTATGAATGCCACTCATTCATTTTCCATCAAATAATCGATCAGAATCGGAGTTTCGAGCAGGGATGAGCCAGTCTGTGTTAAATCATTCATCTACTACATCTACACCGAACCATCCATCCATGCCATCCATGCAGCCAGACCAAACCCCAGCAGCCCCAGCAGCCCCAGCCCCTCCTGCAACAATTGGATTCTCTTACACTGGCATTTAACCACAATTCAAGCCTTTAAAACAGCTTTAAATTACGCACCCGTCGCCGACGACGACACATTTGATGGCCTGCATTTGCGAAGCGGACGGATTGTGGATCCACAGGAATAGGAGAGGATTTTTTCTCCCTGCTCGTTCTCGCAGTGTGGGCTGCTAGCTTGAACTGCTGCGGCAGCCTTATTTTTTTTTACCACCGGTATTCTGGCAGACCACGCCCCTCGTGCGCTAGGATTGGCGCTCTAGAACGGCCAGTCTGAAGCATTAGCCAATCCCAGCGCGGGCAGCGAGAGCGCACTAGCCAATCCGCGCCGCAGGAGGGCGGGACCTGTATGAATGCGGGTGTTGAAAAAGAAACAACACCGCCGCAGAGGCAGACGACGACATTTAACGAGCGACCTACGGAAAAGCACGATCACTTTTAAAGGCACAGCGTTGTAAAAACGTTATTTAAAATGAGCGACAAGTTTCGCGAGTTTACATGATCAGAGTCGTCGTTGTTTCTTGTTTCGTGCGATGAATGCGCGAGTCGACTTTCACTAGGTGCTATCGAATGCTAGCAACCGATTAGCATCTTTCTGACATTAAAGGGCCCATATCACGGAAAAACGGAATCGCCTTTATTTTTTGTTTATAAAAGAGTTTGATGTGGCATGTAAACGTTGTTAAAGTTTCAAAATGTACCGTTCACTCCCTACTACGGAGGCCCGCTGGTGACATCCTGTATAAATAAAAATAAAGCGTGGGAACGAGATCCTAATCCGTGGCCACGACTTAGTATGGCGTGGGAACGAGATCATGGCTTACTGAGTCGTGGCCACACATTAGGATCTCGTTCCCACGCTTTTACTAAGTCATGTCCACGACTTAATCATCTCATTCCCATGCCTTACTAAGTCGTGGCCACACATTATTTTTATTTATACAGGATGGTACCAGCGGGGCTCCGTACTCTATCGCAAAAACGTATTGCACGTTTTAAATTCACTGTTCTTGTGATGTCATGGAGGCAAACGCAATAACATATACAAGCTGTGTCCCAATTCAGGGGCTGCATCCTTCGGAGGCTGCATTTGAAGGCCGACTGCGTCACAGCAGCACGACTAGGCTCTCCTTTCAAAGGCTCCTTCATATGCGGCCGAGAAATGTGTCCTCCTTTTGTGGAGGAAGAGTGAGTTTGTGTTTCTGGCTCCATCTTAAAAGATCTTAACAGGAGCGGCGGTTCGTGACGCAGCGTTGAGGACGGGAACAGCGGTGCTGTGACGCAAACAGGAAATCCGCCGTAGGACAGACCGTCTCATTTCAGTTCAGCCTTCACGGGTCTACACAGCCTTCGAGGGACACGCCTTCGTAGACCGCGTCCTTTGAAGGATGCAGCCCCTAAATTGGGACACAGCTACAGCCTGCAGCAGTTTAGCCCCGCCCACTCACACTGACGATATACGGGGTGTTTCAGGCTGGACTGCTTTTTGAAAAAGACCAGGGGTGCACAACTCCGATCCTGGAGGGCCGGTGGCCAGCACAGTTTGGAAGTTTCCCTACCTAAACACACCCACTAAACCTGCTAATTAACAGAGAAATGCAATCAGGTGTGTCTTAGTAGGTAAATCACCAAACTGTGCTGGACACTGGCCCTCTAGGACCGGAGTTGTGCACCCCTGAAAAAGACAGAATACGGGACAATCAGAACAGATTTGCAAACATTAATCTTAAAGGGACACTAAGGAAAGCAGCCTGTTTATTCTGAGGGATAAACAGAGGTTGGAAAATGGTCATGTAAAAAAAAGAATGAATTGTGGCCTCACGTCAGGTCAAAAACAGAAACAAGGAAATTGTGGGATATGGGCCCTTTAAGGAATGGAACTACTGAAAAATTAAATTAGGCACTTCCAAAACTACCAACCTCTCCAACTATATTTCAGTCCATTCTGACAAACAGAAACATTAATTTATTGTCACTATATCTACACCTAACCTCAGTCCTATGTTGGCCAGCTGTCTGTGGCTGGTATGTGGGAGTGAAATCCCCCCAGAGCAGGTGAAGTCTTTATAAAACAACAAAATGAACGGATGAACCAACTGTTCCAGTGAAACTCGATGCTTGGAGCATTTGTTGTGGGTGACTAAAGCAACCCGCTAGAACAGAGAGGGGAGGTCCACCCAATTTTCAAAATTCCCACATAATTCAAACATTGAGATGTAATCAGAGATTCAGAGTGGTTTGGTGTGATGCTTCAGATCTCTTTACAGTGGTGGTGATGGGAACCAGGGGTTGCCATGAGTAAGTAGACATTATATAGACATTTTAAATATAGACAAATATAGATATTTTATTTACTATCCAAAACCACCAGTGAACCTACACAAGTCTTCTGAGTTTATATGGAATGTTGATGATGGAAAATAGTGGAAAATCTGAAATAATAAGTTTTCTTTGGGGACTATTTTGCCTCACAGCGCCCTGCATATTATGTATCCCTCCACCATGAATGGAGTTTAAGGCCAAAATCTTCTCAAACTATCATAAACAGAGTCTCAGTCATCAGGCAGTGAATTCATAACCATTTCATGTAGTAACTTTCTGTGAGGGAGCTTTTAGAGGTGGACGTCTGGTTCCTATCACCACCACTGTGAACAGTTCTGACTCTGTAAGTTTCTCTATAACTGAGCGTTTCACACCAAACCACTCTGAACGACTCTGTTTACATCTTAATCATTTAATTATGCAGAAATTTTGTAAAATCTGTGGACTCCCCCTTTAACAGGGCAGAAATAATGTTGCTATACTATTATATTGGCCTAGGCCAGCCCAGTCCACACTCCACACTGTTAGCCGAATGTGGTTGTTTCTGACGTTTTATTGATAAACGATGGCGTTCAGATGAAAATGTGTGCCACAGTATTGATCAGATTGATTGGTTGCCTCCACAGAGTCTTACAGAATCATCTAAAACCAAATCTGGATACGTCTAATGATTCAGAACCGATTTAGTTTCGGCTCATATCGTGTGCAGAACATTACAAACTTTCAGAAATCAGTGGAAACAGATTTAAGAACACTTTTTATGTCATTACTGTCATAAAAAACAACTTTACAGGAATGTTTTAATAAGAGCTGTAGAGAAATGTTCTCAGGGTGACCAGAACAGGATGGAGGCTGGATTTCATTGTAAACACAGATTAATAACTGAGATGAAGATAATTATTGAATGAATGTGAAATAAAAACACTCTTAACAAAGATGGTTCTTCAAGGGTTCTTTAATAAAGAAAATGGTTCTACATAGAACCATGCACACTCAAAGAACCTTTTGCATGATTAAAGCGTTCTTCAGATTGATGGAGATTGTGCTGTAGATGGTTCTACATAGAACCTTTTTTGATAACAGTTCTATTTTAATAAACCTGACATCATAATAATAGAACCCTTATATGCTGTATATGGTTCTATATAGAACCCTTTTCAAAAAGGTTCTACATAAAACCATCTACAGCCAATCGTCAAAGCCTTTTTGGTTCTATATAGAAGCCTTTTCTGTATGCTGTATATGGTTCTATACAGTTCTGTGTGTTGTAGAACCTTCTACAGCACATTCTTCATCAATCTGAAGAACCCTTTCATGGTACAAAGAATGCTTTAATCATGCAAAGGGTTCTTTGAGTGTCCATGGTTCTACACAGAACCACTGTCTTTACTAAAGAACCCTTGAAGAACCAGATTTTTAAGAGTGTAAGATGTAAATTTATACCTAAACAGTGAAGAAAAAGTGGTCCATTCATTAAAAACACAGCAAAACGTTTAAGAATTTATTTTTTTATTGCTTAACCTGCCATTGGGAACAATCTATACCAAAAGGGTTACAACGTCAGCACAATAAAAAGAAAAACCTGAATACAATCACAGAATAAGAGTAGAGAAAATGGTCCTCTGATGGCTCTAAACCGCAGAGCGTCGGACAGCAGTGAGGGTTTAATACTGGGGCTTCAGTCAAAAACGTAAGAAGGGTCAGTCACGGGAATGAAGAACCAGCAAAAAAGACAAAAGCACAAGCTTGTTTTCTGGAAAATGCTTAAAAAGAAGATCATTTTCCAAAAGGTACCACTTTTACTGACACAAATGTTCCTTCACGGCTGAAAATCTTCCCAAAATGTGGATCTGGATGATACAAAAATAGAAATAAACAGCATTTATGATTCAGTACTGTGATTAAACACCTCTAGGCCAACTGAGAAACGTGCTCAAGACGTTCTTCTCTGAACGCTTCATATCAAATACTGCAGAATTCAAAGGAAAAGCATGAATCACACCTTTCTATCTCTACAAGATTCACTCTGCCCCTTCATACCTGTATGATACATGATAGGTAATCATAATTATACAGATAAAATACATGATATGACCCCAGTGGTGGGTGTCAAAGCCTTTTACACTAATAAAAACAGCTCTAATAGCTTCTCTAATTCAAACTGTTGTTGATTTCGTTGATAAAGCATGTCTGTCTGTGGAAAACTGATCATATGAGCAGAGTGGAGAACGACTGACCACTCCAGGCAGCTCTTTTCCAGTCTGAGGAGGGACGACAGAAGCACAGTGGTGCTATAAACTGATGTTAATAAAGTAGTTTATGGTATAAGTGAAGAAGATATTGGCAATGTGAGACTTTAAAGGTGATAAATCAACATTACACTGTTTAAAGACACCAATAAAACACGCTGATGATGCTCGTTTATCAACAAAAATGAAAATGATAATAATATTGATGTTTTTTTTTCCAAAAAAAATGAAATCAGGCACTTCCAAAACTTAAAACCATTAGATACTCCACATGTATGCATCTCCGAAAAGGTCTAAGGGGCGTCTAACACAGAGATGAACTATTTTCCATTCAAATGAAAGCCTACACACTTTCGACCTAAAGTTTATTGGTCGATTCTGAGCCAAAAACAAAAACAAAACCTGTCACAACATTTAAAATATCCAACATAAGCTTCAGCAAATGATAACACTGCATTAGAAAGCACCATCGCATGAAACAGGGAGCGTCCAGGTTGAGAACTAGATCAAAAGATCAGATCCTTTGTATGTATTTTCACTGTAACACAAGCAGTTCTGAAATATTGCGATGGCACCCCTGCGTCACACCAGCGTATGCGTTCAGCTCGACGGCATACAGCACGACTGTCGTTTGAACGTGTCGTTTGACATCAGCTAATACTAAAGCTCTTAAGACTTTGAATGGTTCGACTGTGTCACATTATACTGGCATTAAAGGTACGATAAGCACATTTTTCTTAAAAGAAAATTTAATCATGAAAAGATAACGGCGGTGAGAAGCCACAGAGTCTCGCCTTTATGCCTTGTTTCAGGTACATACTTATTAAGTTACATATTAAACAAGCTTGTAATGGTGCATAAAAAACAGAAAAAAAATGTTACTTGTACCTTTAAAATGAACCCCTACTAGTAAGGGAAAAAACAATACTTTGAAAACCCACAAACTCTTGAATCTGTGCTAATTTATCGACAAAAAGTTTTCCCCCTCGCTGTAGAGAGCTCCGTTTTGAAAAGTTTGACACCAAAAATTCAACAAATACTCAGACTTCACTCAAATAAAAGCTCATCAGACAAAATTTCAGATAAAAATCAATACTAGAAGCACTGTGAGGTAAACGGGAGAGATCGGTGCGAATTGGGGAGACAGAAAATAAGAAACACCAGGACCAGCAATAACAATGTGAAATAGCAGGAGCATATATAGAATCTTTATATTTAAATTTATATATATATTTATATATATATATATGTATACCAAACTGTGCAAAAAATATGATTATGGTCATTTACTTCTAATATAATATAATCATTTACATATGCTATATATGTGCAACTAGAACGAGAAAAGAGCAAAGCTGATCACCACGGTAACTATGGTGACGTCAAAAACTTCAGTACCCTTGACGAAACTAACGTAACCGACGGAAAAACTCATACACAACATAGATTAGATTTGCCTTTGGCTTAACTATAATCAAACGATGCAGAAGAAAATGAACCGCGAAATACTCTCGAATGGTTTGAACCACGCGCTTTCCCACAATGCACTGGGCAGATATACCGCGCGGCGCCCCGCGGAAACGTCGCGACACCCGAAAGCAGGAGAAACTCCCGTTTTGTTTTTTAAAGCTCTTCACGCTGAGGAGGCGTCACCGGCAAAACGTCTGGGTCTCCCGAGCGGAGACGAACATCCTGCCTAAAACTACAACAACCCACAGATGAGGAACAGGGCAGAGAACATACCGGAGCAGTGAACTCGACGGGCACCTGGGTGTAGGAAGAAGAAAAGAACAGTACGAAAGAAAAGAGAAGTAAGAAAATAAAGCAGATCTTGCATTGGTGGACCCTGCGATAGATTAAAAAGAGGACGAGGAGGTGGCCTTCGGCGTCTGGGGGCTCAGACGGACAGCGAGACGAAGCTGTTGTACTGCTGGATGTTCCTCTTCAGGATGTCCGAGCACGGCCCCAGCACGCGCTCGAAACGCGGGCGGTCCAGCTTCACGCACTTCAGGGGGCTGCGGGCCACGACGGTGGCGGCGCGGGGGCGGTTCATCAGCAGAGCGATTTCACCTGAATAAATAAAGCGCAGTGTAAACAAACTGGACCAGGAGACAACAGAAAAGCACAGCTGACCTGGTTATGAGTCTTAATTTTACATACACACAGCCTAGACCTCTCAGCCTGCACCTGCTTTAGCTGGTTTAGTTTCATCTTGATTTTAGCTGATTTAATTTTTTCATTTTCATCACTTATTTTATCATTACTGTTATTTTCTTTTTGTTCTTATCTTACTGAGTTCTTAATTTTTTTTAATAATACATCTGCTTAACAGTTTTATTTGATTGTTTCGATTTGCTGATCTCATTTTTCTTAAATGTGATAGAATCAACACTTCAAACATTAATATAGCAGCAAATAACTATTTTCTATTTAACGATGGGAAAACTTATACGAGAAGCTGAGGCACCTGAATGCGGTCTTAACTGCTGCACCTTTTAAGGTGGAACAGGAAAATTTGTACAAGAAGCTGAGGCACCTGAATGTGGTCTTAACTGCTGCACCTTTTAAGGTGGAACGGGAAAATTTGTACAAGAAGCCGAGGCGCCGGAATGTGGTCTTAACTGCTGCACCTTTTAAGGTGGAACAGGAAAATGCGTACAAGAAGCTGAGGCGCCTGAATGTGGTCTTAACTGCTGCACCTTTTAAGGTGGAACGGGAAAATTTAAACAAGAAGCTGGCGAAAAAGAAGCTGATTTCAGCTTCACTGATAGATGAAATGTATGAAAACGGATGAGGAGGTCGCTCCTGCTGGACAGGTGGGTAACATTAACTTATTTTTGCTGTTTCACAGAACCAGTAGGTCCGTATTGTTTTGTCTTGTTTGTGAATGTTTGTGACAGCAGCTGCTTTAGCTTCACAGCAGAAACTGTTGCGACAGATTACTAACCCACCACTGAGCTAACGTAGCTACATTACTTCCTGTGTGGTTGTTCGCTCTAATGTTCATGGTATTTGTGTGTACAAGGTTTGCGAAAAGTTTTACGGCCACAAAGATCTTAAAAGGCGTGTTGGCCTTGACAATGCGTGTCCACTAATTTGGGGGGCGGAGTCTCTGAAGGAGCACTGAAATTGTGTGATGGTGTGATTGTTTTCCTGTTTAGTTCAAATATCAACAGTCGTTCTCTAGAACTGTACAGCGCTCCTTTAAAGTTTTCTCCATTTTTTATTTGTCTTATGTTCCGGTTTAATATTAACTTCTGTTTTATTCCTTTGCTGTACTTTTACTATCACAACTGTATATTTATTTTTTCAGTCCCCATTTTTTTATTCAATGCTCAGTCACACTGTAAACAATCACCTTTAATGTATGAGTTTAAATAAAGGTTGATCAATTAATTATAGCCATAGCCTAGAGGTACTCGATCGGACAAGACAAGATCAGACAAATGTGGAGTCCAAATTTTGTTTCTTTAGCTTTAAATCCGAGCCACAAGGCTAATGTTGCTAACAAACACTTAAAGTCAATAGTCACCCAAACCATTTCCGCAAATACATTCTGAAGGGGAGTTGGATTCCGTGGCAGAGCTGGAATTCAGCACAACATTCTGCTGTCTAAAGTGGCTGCCTGCAGTGTTTCAGCTACACTAAAGTTGTTGACTTTTATAATTCACAGTAGGTCAGGCTGTTTCTTAAACCACATCTACAAGTCTGCACCACCTTAATGAAGAACTGGATGCGGTTTGAGTGGGTTGAGAAAGTTCTGGGGATGTATTTTTACACAAAACATTTGGGTGACTATTGACTTTTAGTGTTTCTTTAGCTACATTAGTCTTCAGCAATAAAATCAAGAAACACAATTTGGACCCGAAACATCTTATTGACTACACCCCACACTTAAAAAGACGTCACGAATCTGATGCAGACTTTTTTTCTAAAAAAAAAAAATAAAAGATACTGGTGAATGAGGCCCAATGTTTCTGTCCGATATTGAGGTCAAGAATAGATTAGAGGCAGGAATTTAACACGAACAGAAGTGAACTGTGAACACGAACACTCACCAAAGTAGTCTGAGGGTCCAAGTCTGCCCACCTCCACAAATTCCTCGTTTTCAGAGCGCCTCTGCAGCACTGCGGCAGAACCCTGAGAACACCAGCACATCTCAGTGCACACGCACAGCACACAGCACCACTGAAACTGTCTCTGGCTGTATAATTTACACTTCTTTGTGTAACACGCAGCGTCCATTAATCTGTTCCTAAACGGAATTCTCGGCACGTTTACACCGGTTAGTCTCATCCCACCTGGGGCTGGACTCACGAAAGTGTCTTAGGAAAGAAAATCCTCTTAAATGTGTTTTTTCTTGTTTGCTAAATATTATAATGCTTGGTTTGTTTTTCTTCCATTTTGCTCCTCTGACAGATTAAATAATGGAAATAACAGTTAATACAAATTCAAAACGTATCTTGTAGCGTTTATGGTGCACGGTAAAATGCAACACAGCTGACATAAGAAAACAACGACAAGAAAATAATTGAGTCAATAATTAAGATTAGTTTTTTCTTAAGAAAGTTTCCGTGAATCCGGCCCCTGATCTATACTATTATAAATAATTAGGGGCCTTAAGATTATTATTAGGTGTTTTAGCAAGAAAATCTTCTCAAATTCTTCATTCTTAAGAAAAAGTTATGAGAAATTGTTATTCTTCAAATAACTTCTTAAGAATTCCCATCTTAACTATTTTCTTAAGAATAATTCTAAGAATAAGTGGTATTCCTGAAAACATTGTTCTTATGTGTTTTCTTAATCTTACAATAGTCCCTCACTCGTCTCAGGCTGTATGACTCGACCAGGTGAGCGTCTAAAGTTATTAAACTCAAACGGTGCTTCTGCTGCTCCTCATCCTCGTCCATCACCCCACAATCATCATATTTACTGAGAAATTTTTTCCTGTTGGCTGTTTCTTCATCCATCAAGTCTTGTTTGCAAATTTTGTTTAAACACTTGGTTTGATATTTTTCCTCCATTTTGCTCCTTTGAGCGGATTAAACAAATAATGAAAGTAACAGTTAATACAAATTTAACTGTAGCTGTAAAATGCAACATACGTCTACATAACTAAACAAGTAACTAATTAAGATTTTCTTAAGAGAATATTTGAGAACTTTTTCTTGGAGAACAGCATTTAAGAACATTCTGATGAACTTCTTAGTGTTTGTCTTAAGAACCTTCACAAGATTTTCTTAAGAAAGCTTTTGTGAATCTGGCCCCTGGTTTTGATTCTGAAGAGATTCTGATTCAAATTCTAATTCTGAAGTGATTCTGATTCATTGTAATCTCAAAGGATTCTGGTTTAGATTCTAATTCTGAAGCGATTCTGACTCAGATTCTAATTCTGAAGTGATTCAGATTCAGATTCTAATTCTGAAGTGATTCTGATTCATTGTAATCTCAAAGCAATTCTGGTTCAGATTCTAATTCTGAAGAGATTCTGATTCAGATTCTAATTCTGAAGTGATTGATTCATTGTAATCTCAAAGCAATTCTGATTCAGATTCTAATTCTGAAGAGATTCTGATTCAGATTCTAATTCTGAAGTGATTGATTCATTGTAATCTCAAAGCAATTCTGGTTCAGATTCTAATTCTGAAGTGATTGATTCATTGTAATCTCAAAGCAATTCTGGTTCAGATTCTAATTCTGAAGAGACACTGATTCAGATTCTAAATCCAAAGTGATTCTGATTCTAATGTTTAACTGGTTTTAGCACTGAATAAAAAATCATTTTACATTGTAGGTTTATTATTATTATTTACATTATTATTGTTATTATTTTCGTATTTTTTATACGCTGCACTACAGATTCTATTCTGTCTGTTTCAACTTAATAAATCACACAAAAAACTACATTTCATGTGTATCATGAAAATGTCTTAAAGTACCAGGATATTATATTCTTGCCATATCGCCCACCCATATGATCCATATAAATTAGGACAAAACTATAGAGTAGCTTTTTTTCCCAGTCTCAGGAAATATGATGTAACCTAGCAGAAGAAAATCATCAATGTGCACCTCGAGGATGATGAAAAACTCGTCTCCAGGTTGGCCTTGAACCACTATCTTCTGGCCATCCTCAAACTGCACCGTTTCCAGCGCGTCGGCCACAGTGAGCCGCTCCCACTTATCCAGAGATTCTGCACACAGAACGTTAAGACAACTTCAATGTCCACCGCATGGAGCTCACACAGCTTAAAAAGCTGAAAATTAGGAACTCATTCATCATCTGGTTTAGCTCTAATGTCTAAATGTACACATAAATAAAATAATAATGATTAAACTACAATTAGAATGAATAAACGTACCAAAAGATAGTCTGTAAATCATTACTGCCATATCAGAACATTATTACTGTCATTTTTGATTTAATGATTCTAAATAATCATTCTTATTTGCTGACCACTACATTGTGTAAGCTGACCACTACATTGTGTAAGCATTTCGTGAGTGGATATGGTTGGATGTGGTGCAAATTTAACAAGAACAAAGTCTTATTAAAATAACTTACATTAAAGGTAAGAACATGTTTTCCTTCTCATGTAAAAGGATGTTTTCAAAGATACAAGGTTTTGTAATGACTGCGCTGTGAACAAGTCAGACACCATCTTTTTATGCAATGTCAAGTAAAAACAGCCATTAAGTAGTTATTCATTTTTCAGTATCAGGAAAAAAACAGAAAACATGTATTTAACAGAAATATAACATATATAAATATAATAAAATCAAATATGTTTACTGTGGGCCTTCATTTCAGCTTCCATTCTTTTCAGGAGACTCACTTGCAGTTTCTCAAAGAATCTGCAGAAACACCTCTGTGGCATGCGCCTGCCCCGGGCCCCGACGACAGCCACGAGAGCCGGCAGGAAGGCGGGTCCCGAACTCCGAGTGAGGACGAAGCCCCGCGAGGAACGCGGAGGGAGAACCACAAGTGAGTGTGGGACAAAGCGCAAAGTGCAAAGCCCAAGCTCTGCCGAGGGACGCGAGTGACGGCAGGAGGAGGAAGACGGCGATGCCGGCCACTAGAGGCACGAAGGCAAGGAGCGAGTCCCAAACTCTGGCCGACCTGTGGCGTGGGGGCTCTTTTAACAAGCACACGAGTCGAGAGGGAACGAGAGCTTGTTGCTCCGCCTCCCCGTCACCGTCTCTCGCTTCGCAGCTCGTCCGCCCAGTCGAACGTGAGGCAAATCAGATTGGCCTCACTGCGGGACCAAAGGTGGCACCTAGGATGCGGGGCTCGGGGCATGGGGTGTTCCTCTCCCTGCCGTTCTCAGCGGGCTGATGATTTTCTGAAGTAATCAAACACATTCAGTGGTGTTGAGGTCTGGACTCTGGGGTGGTCAGTCCATCGTTCAGCTTCTTTGTTCGATGTGTCCGTCTCCTTTTCTCAGTGAGGTTCTTCTTGACAGCTACACATCCTTTCAGACCCACAGCGCTGAGTCGTCTTCTCACAGTGGAAGGATGGACAGAAACACCTGTGGATGTTTTCAGATCTGAAGCAGCTTGATTTTCTCCTCTCTCTCAGAGATGAAAGCTTTAAGTGCTGTTTATCTGATGGGGGCAGTTTTGGTGTCGACCAGCTCTTCCAGGTGGTTCCACATTTTCTCTGTAGCTTTTACTCATTTTTGAGCTCATTTGTTCGCTTTAGTTTCCTTTGACTTTCTCTTTCCTTATACAAGTGGATCTTACATCTAATCTAATCTCTTTAGAAATATCTTATAAAAATTATTTAATGGCTGTTTTGTGTGGACATTAAATAAATGAATGGTGGTCAGTGATTTTTGCGCAGTGCTGTATGTTGTAAAATTTGAAAATTCGTTAGACTTGCCTAAAATTGACACCTTGCTGAGGAATTCCTCATACATCTTCCTCTTTCTCAGAGTGCTTCCCTGAAAGAGAAGAAAAAAGCTCATGTCACATAAAGCTAGATGCTTAAGCTAGAGCTAGTTGCCCTATATACATTACATGTGCTGCATTTTATGTAACAATGTTTATCTGTATTTTTACCTGTCAAACAAACAAACAAATAAATGGGTCAAGAAGATGCTCAACATTTAACTGAAATCTTTATGTTTAGAAACTGGTTTATCAGCTTCTCCACAGTGAGACTTTAAGGAATTAAACCATTTAAAGGAATTATTTAGTAAAAAATTTAATCTACACTGTTTTCTATCAAAACAGACAATGTCTATAATATCTATGATAATGTACTTTTGTCCATGTTTATAGATAACAGTGAGTCACACAGTGTCAGAAACCACATCATCAAGTCTATTAGAGATACTGAACATCTCCACACCGTTTCAGGCCAGAGTGTTGACACTAAAGGATGTACATGAGCTTCCAGTACTTGTTAACTACATTAGCCTCGTAGCTCCAGCACTAAAACTAAAGAAGCAAACTTCAGACACCAGACAGGTCTTGTCTGACTGGCTGCATTTGGATCAAGAGGGTGAGATTCTGGGCCAAACTATTCCTTTAACTTGCTCTTTTACAGCAAGTGGGTAATACGTGAGAGTGAATCTACCATCAGTATTCTCCTGTAGCTGTCTCTGTCGATTCCCCACAGCTTCACGTTGGTTTTGGCGCGGACGGTTGCTGCCCTCGGGGTGCCATAGATTAGGGCCAGTTCACCAAAGCTGCCGCCCTCTCCAATACTGGTCACCCACGTATTATTCACATACACCTACAACACAAAACAAGCAATGTAAATTATCAGATGTATCAGATAATGTGATATAAAATAAACAAGAGTGTGTGTGTATATATATATATTTATGAATTTTTCTCTCTTAAAGATACACTTTTTATTTAAAGATTTTCCATTACCTTTAATACTTTTGAACCCATAATGTGATTTCTCAGTGCTGTTGTTTTATTTTTTATCTGTCAAGTATGTAATCGAACAAAACTGAAACTAGATTTCTTTAATTTTGTCAGTGTAACAAACTACCACTCTACAAGTAAACATATGAATAGGAATATGCTTCACACTTAAATATTCTTTAATTGTTAATTACTGATATTTTAATCAGATAAGGTAGTTTTTGTTCTTTAAGCGTGTGAATGAGTTTAAAAGTGGGTCCCTTCTGTGTTTGGTCTTTAAGGAAAGCTGGAGCCGAGCAGAGCTCAGTCTGTCGTTATGCTAATTTTATTCTACTTTTATCAAATACCTGCCATTACATCGTTTATTATAATACTAAAAACTGAAACTAAATAAAAACTGAACTAAAACTATGACTTTTCAGAAAATAAAAACAAAACTATAAACTATAAATGCAATTAAATTTAATTTAAACTAAACTGAAATCAAAAACAAAACGAAAAACTAAAACTAAAAATATATATAAATATATAAATTATAAATAAATAGTTTATGTATAATAATATAATTTAATATTTATAAATATTTTGTAAATAAAAATATATAAATAAATATTTCAAAACTATAATAACGCTGCCCTCAAGCAAAAATGCGGCTCTGCGCGACTCTACACACGATTGTGTGTAACTGTAGACATCTCACTGAGTAAACATAGTCAGATGAATAATTAGTTAACAAAAAAGACAATTAAGTCATTAATTATTTATACAACAATTAATCATCAGCTAAAATTGATTAGGTTTTAATAAAGTAACTGACAAAGAAAACATGATCATTTAGATGAAAACCACTCTGGAAAAACAAGGTGTCCCCAAACTTTTTGACAGTGTAGTTTGTTTTAAACTGATGAGCAGCGTGAGAAGAAATGAGAGCAGGTCACTTACATCCATTTCTCCCTGATCAATGACGTAGAAGTTATCACCCTCGTCCCCTAAAAGAAGAGATTGAAATGTCACAGTCTTGTTTTGCGTCCATTTATTTAACTAAAATGATCTGTGTTTCACACAAACAAGCCAAACCTTGCTGAATGACGGTCTCTCCAGCGATGTAGTTCACCGAAAACATGGCATCAAATATATCACTGAGGGGGAAAGAGTAAAAGAGGCACATCACTCTAACGGAAACTCGTGAGAACAAATCCCTCAAAGCAAGTCTGGAGACGTCGTTGCTAGGAGAGCATTTTAAGTGATGTCACTGCAATTCTGATATTGATATATATTGAACTCTGGTACACTGAAACGACATTAAACTGAGAAAATAAGATGGTTATAGTAATTTTTTAACAGAGAAAATTCTCACATTCATGGGTTTCTTTGGTCTCTTGTGCTCCATCTTGCCGGTTTTTCTTTTTCCTCATAACTCTCTGTTTGGAGTCTCTGAAAAACCTCCGTTTGGAGGGTCATGTAGCCCCAACACTTCACCCTACCCCTCTATCTCAACAAGAATCAGGACACCCTACCACTAGATGAAAACTCGCAAAACAGAGGGGTGGGGCTGAGTGGTAGGGGCGAGGGGTGAAATGGGACTGGGGCTAAGTCTTTTGTTTATTTTCAGTTTGTTTTCTTTTCAATTTTCAGTTCTTTTCTTGTCTTGTTCTTTAATTTGTTGCTTTTGTGGATTCTTTATGTTGTCATTATGGATTACAAAAAACCTTGGACATGCGCTTGCATCCTGCCTCTTGGGGCCAGTCCCATTTCTTCTTTTTACCCCTACCCCTTGTTTTTGAGCATCACCCTAACCCCTTGGAATTGAGTTACAGGGTAGTGGTTGAAATCTTGCCCTATGAAATGGGACCCTCAAATTAAAATGGGTGAAATAGGATTGGGCCTTGGTCTCTGTCACCGTTACGTTAGGGTGTCCAGAAATTCCCAAACAGAAAACAAACCAAGAAACAAAAAGTGCCTAAAACTAAAAAAAGATCCAATCACGTTACCTTCTTTCGTTATCATCCAGATGGGCGAACAGCACATTCTTCTCAATCGCTTTAGCCAGAGCAGCCATCGTTTTATAGTCTTTTGGAATGACCTGTGAATCAATGAGGAGAGGATACTGGTTTAAAATGTGTCCATTCATTCATTTTTGATCTTTTTGACCTTCTATTCGTTCTAGACCTACATTTATTCCATTTAGCAGACGGTCTTTTTATTATAAGTGATGACTTATAAAATATGAAAAAAGCCCTGAGAATCACTTCAATCAAATAACATCCAAAACGCTGCACATTAAAAAGTGGTAACCAAATCTCTCTGTTCATAATAACCCAATAACCCGAATATTAATTAATAAAATTTAAACTGTGAATAAACCATTGGTTCACGTTTTGGTGTCCAGTTGATAACATTTCAATCTGCACTGTATAAGTTATTATTGAAAAACATTTATTAATACAAGTGATTCCAAATGTTTTGTTCAGAAATATACTTTAGATAATACAACATCTATAATTAAGGAATATACAATCATACGCAAAACGCCCCTGATCAATGATTTGTTGATTTTCTAAGTGAAAATAAGTTACTGCATCCTCTACGGAAAACACACTTAAATAACTTAAAAAAAAAAATTTTCTTTCTTTCCTAAATTTTGACATGTTGGAGGAAAATAAAACAAGATACATAAAATGCCCCATAACTTTTGCCACATTTAATGTTTTTTTTTAAATTAATTTAGTGCATTATTAAATTAGTTTAATGTTTATTTACTTTTTTTATTCTTTTAAAGTCATTTCTATTGCAGTAATGGTGTTTTAGCAAATAAACAATTACAGCCCAGATAAACAACTTTTTAATCTACTCTGCTAAAACTTTTGCTCCCTCCTGCATCCCAGCATTTATTTAATAAGTTCCTTTACTAAATAATTAAATAACAGATTATAATAACAGTACGTTCTCCACACATCACGCAGTTCAAGTGTTCCGTGACAATGTAAATAAGTCAGTACTTTTCTGACGTAAGAGGCGGCGTCCTCCTCGGTGTAAACCTCCGCGCTGATGGCTCCGCGGCGGCGGCGGCCCTTCACCACGGGGTTCATGGGAGGAGAAATCTCATCTTCACGCGAATCCGAGCGCGAGCTTGACTTCTGCTGACCAACCATCTGCTTGGCCTCCTCCTGACGGGACCAACGACGATAAACAGACGATCAGAGTGACAAACTGTTATCGACTGATGTTATTGAAAACGTTATTGATGCCAAACGACACGACCCACCTTCTCCAGCCTCTCGAAGTAGTCTCTGAGGAAGGCCATCGGCCGGTCCGGCCTGGACGTGCACAGCTGCACGATGCAGTCCTTCAGCAGCTGCTGGATGTTGTGTTTCTGCACGTACAGCTCACATTCCCGCAAACTCCTCTCCTCCTCGCTGCTCGTGCTGGACGCCATGCTGACCTGCTGACCCCACACATTAAACCTCATTAGCACTCAAGTCGAATGAGAATGGACAACGAAGACTGAGCTTAAAATTCAGAAGTTACACAGTCGTAGAGATGATTAGAGAATTCAGGATTTATTTTCCTATAAATAGAAAATAAATTTTTAGAAAATAAAACAAACAATTAAGGCTGCAGACCATCCTGTCATCGCTGAGACAGTAAAAATAGTGGTCAGAAAAATAAATAAATAAATAAATAGATAGATAGATAGATATAGAATAAACAGTGTTGTCAAATGATTTAAGCAATTAATCATGATTAATCACATTCTTCTGTGGAATTAATCATGATTATTTTGCTCAAATACGATTCTAAAGAAATATGCGCCCGTTTATAAAGCAGTGCACATTGTGTTACAGCTGTATGTATGAACAGAATCAGCTTCATCAGAACGAAGTTATCACTACCCATAATTCAATAACTTTATTGGGCTTCACCAAAATTTTATCAATTTGATTAAAAAATAAAAAAATTAAATGAAAAAGCAGTATTTCTAGTATCATGTAAATTTCAAGTTTCATTACAGTATAAATATAAAGAAAATAAATAAATAGCTTTCAACAATTTTACAAAAAGCTAATTAGCACTACACAATAACAATAACAATAATAATAATAGTAATAATAATAATACTAAATAAACAATATAAAATATTTTTTAAAAATACTAAATAATATTAGAATACAAATATCTTTTTTATTTCATCAATCAAAGTGAAACATAACTGCTCTTATTCTTACGTTTCAACACTCTTATTCAATATGTTTCAATATTCAAGATAATATTTAAAAGCTGTATTTGAACAAAAACCCAGAACATACAGCGTGTGATCAGCTGGTCTTCGGGGGGGAATTATGGATGGTTTGAGGGGTAAAACTATGAAAATGCATAAATGGCATTAAAAAATTAACAGGTTATCATGTTAACGTGTTATTACTGTATAAACTTCAACAGCGCTGATAATAAAGCTTTATGTATTAAATTCATACTTCTACCTACACTGTGATTTGGACCTCAGTCTAAACTGGGTGAAGGAGCGTCTTCTGAGGATGAGAGTGAATTATCTACTACTGTCATCACATCTTCATCAGTATGATGTTGATTTTGAGATCATTTGAGGCCGAAACATCGAGCCGGACCTTCTTTTAGAGTCTGTGTGTGGCGTTAATACGTAAAGACGTACGACGTGGTGTGAAAAACTCGACATCTCTTGAGTTTTAAATGATTATTTCAGGCTTTACAGGGCAAATCAAAGCAGCTCATGCTCCTCATGTTTTAGCCTGTTTTTACTCTCCTCCTCAGTAACGACACGGTGCATGTTCACAGTTTCTAGCATGCTTTAGCTCAAACATCAACAAATGAAGCAAAAAAGAAGTTTTTTTTTACTTTTGTATGCTGCAGTTTCACAGTTGTTTACTGAGAGTGGTAGAACAAGAATTTTACACTCAGACATAAATGCAAACAAAAGCAAACGACTGACTGGATGGTCAATCTTCACTTCGCTGCAGATAACACAACATAAATGAGTCTGCACTACACACAGAGCTGGGCGATATGGCCAAAAATGGTATCATGATAAACAAAATTCATATCGTTCGATATCGATACGGCGATAAATGTCAAATCAAAAATTATTTCTTTCAAGTTTGAAGGCTGATTTTTGCTCCTGGGTGGTTAATTGGTGTTTTAAATGATCCTTTATGGTCGGAACACGATAAACACTCAGCAAACAGTGGAACATTTCACAGATCTGTCACGGGAGAGTGGGAGAGAGTGTCTGGTTGGCTGTTTTTGCCAGCTGGAAAAAGCATGGCTATTTTTGTAATAGTCATAATTTAAGAAAGAAAACAGATTATTTTAGCTGCCTGGTGACGAGCGCTCGGCTACCCCGCTACAAATGCTGAACGAGTGGCCAACAACAGAGCTGAACTGTTTAGTTTCTCAACAACGTCAACTTAGTACGAACAGCAGACATTAGCTGGATCAGTAGGTCAGTGATGGATCACACCGCCTCACTGCGGTCACTCCCACCACATCCACATCAGAGCACATCACAGTATTCAGACACCAGCTAGAGACGACTGGGTTTATCTATTCTATCATAGCAGTTTAAAGGGTGAACCGCAGTATATCAACACCAGACAGACAGAGTCCTCCTTTCAGGTACGTTTAAACTGAAATCAGTGCTTTTGTGTCTTGTTTGATCTACAGTATCATCAGTTCGCTGGGCTGTGTGAGTGACGGAACTGCTTCAAGTTAGCCAGCTGCTAAAAACAGCTAGCCTGGAAAGATAGCGCTCTCCCGCTCTCCAACGCCTCACAGCTTCCTCAGTTTACTTTCGTTTAAATCGGGCTGTAATTAACATGAACCACTTCTTTCTTTCACTTTCGTTGCTTGTGAATGCACTAATACTAAAATCAGACTGAGCACTGTAACAGCGCTGTAGTTGTGAGGATTGTGATTGTGATTTAACGCTGCTAAAGCTGTTAGGATGTTAGTAAAGAGGTGAGTTCACTGTAGGTCAGTACAGTTACACCACTGACCTCGTCACTCACACTCGGTCACAGGAGAGCAGATCACCGGTCGCTCCACTCAAACAGGGAATGTGTAACTCCATATTTCAGACGTTGATAAAGTATATTTGGTGACTCGTTTTACTCGTCGCCCCCTCCCTCTATAATCATGTTGAAAAACTTGGAAGTGCGCCCTCTCCTGGCGGCAGCAGAGTAGTGTCACTTTCCTTGCAGCAGAAAACGCCACCAGGGCTTTCGCTAAGAACGTGGAAGTGTGAGAGGGGTGTATTATATCAGACATTTTTTATTGTTCTATCGAGGAAAGTTATATCGCAATGATTATCGTTATCGCTTTATCGCCTAACTACACATATAAAACAGTAGTGGTTAAAAGTCTTTCTCAAGTGTGAGTTTGGTCAGAATTGTTATAGGCAGCATTCAACTGGTGTCACTCCTCACCACCACCGTTTTGTTGTCATGCCACCGGTCAACACAGCAGCGACCATTCCACCTTAAAAGGTGCAGCAGTTACAAGAGCATGTACAGGTCCCTGAATGGAACTGATGCACCACTTAAGGTGGAACGGAAAACTCAAACAAAAAGCCGATGAATATGAATCCAACTTCAGCCTCGCAGAAATTCAGACGTGAAATAACTTAGAAAGCAATACTGACATGTTTATTCATATCGTTCAGTTTTGTTTTTTAATGTTTTGCACAGTAAAATATTTCAGGCTTATTTTGGTTGTTAAAAATGAAAAAAAAAGCCACTGTTACAAAAATAGTTTTTAAAGTACATACATACATACTAGGGCTAAACAATTTGAGGAAAATATCTAATAGCGATTTTTCTGATTCATATTGTTACTGCAATTTAAATTGTGATTATTTTCTATAAATCAACATTCAGGCCTGTTTTACTGGTCAAGAAGACCAGGATATTCACTTTTTCTGGCTTGAGGTTTGAACTCTGAATGCAGTGAGCCACACCGCCAGTAAACTGTGGTTGTGATGTCACAACACATGAAGGTTTGGTTGCCTCTTGGTCTAACGCATCTACTGACAGTTCACAAGCTCTGTGTTATGAGGGTAAATTTCCCAACTTAAAACGTAAGAAAACACTCTTGATAATAAGACACCCGTTCTCAGGTGTTTTCAATTGACCTGCTATTGTTCTGTGTCCTGATGAAGGCCTGTGAAGGCCGCAACACGTCGGCACATTTTTATACACATTGCCATGTAGGGCTGGGCGATAAAACAATAATAATAATTATTGCGATATAACTTTCCTCAATAGAACAATAAGAAGTCCTAACCAGCTTTAGCAGCGTTAAATCACAATCACAATCCTCACTACTACAGCGCTGTTACAGTGCTCAGTCTGATTTTAGTATTAGTGCGTTCACAAGCAACGAAAGTGAAAGAAAGAAGTGGTTCATGTTAATTACAGCCCTGAGTTAAACGATAGTAAACTGAGGAAGCTGTGAGGCGTTGGAGAGCGGGAGAGCACTATCTGTCCAGGTTAGCTGTTTTTAGCAGCTGGCTAACTTGAAGCAGCTCCGTCAGTCACACAGCCCAGCGAACTGATGATACTGTGGATCAAACAAGACACAAAAGCACTGATTTCAGTTTAAACGTTCCTAAAAGCAGGACTCTGTCTGTCTGGTGTTGATATATTGCAGTTCGTACTAAGTTGACGTTGTTGAGAAACTAAACAGTTCAGCTCTGTTGTTGGCCACTCGTTCAGCATTTGTAGCGGGGTAGCCGAGCGCTCGTCACCAGACAGCTAAAATAATCTGTTTTCTTTCTTAAATTATGACTATTACAAAAATTGCAGCCATGCTTTTCCATCTGGCAAAAACAGCCATGTGATGTTTGAGTTCACTGCTTTTGGAGATTCTGATCCTTTTAGTGTTTGTGTCTATTTTTATTCCACCTAATGTTTGTATGTTTATGTGCAATTACATGTCTTGCTACTGTAACACTGCAATTTTCAGAGTTCTATCTCTTCATTATGGTTGTCGCCATGCCAACATCAGAGACGACCCTGATTTGTCAGAGTTTGTGTCGAAAGTTCACAAAAATCAAAACAAATGTAATAATATAAATTTTTCGACGTCCAGTCGTGTTGGGTGTGCAGTATATCGTCAGTTATAAGCCCGAATTAACAAGCTGGAACAGACATTTAACAAACGCTATCAAAAACTATTAACTCAATTATTTGCATTCAACATTTCACACGCTGTGTGGAAATAAATCTAGTTAACCAGGAATAATGATGCCCTCCTTCTGATCAAAAAAGCAGTTGGGAAGCCTAAAAATACTGACAATATTCACCATATGCTCAGAAAAGCGTACTGTGATTTAAATTATTACAATATTGTTAAATATTGTCATATTGCCCAGCTCTGCTGTGTAGTATAAAAGTGCTCTTTCTACCAGCATAGAAACAGTTTTATTACATTACAGCCAGGACAGCATCATTTTACATTTATATTAGGTCTTTGGTGAATTTACTGACAGTGTACTGCAGCTACAGACAGCAAACTTGAGGTAGATGAAAATGGAAGTATAACAAGACTAAGGCCTAATCCCATTTCACCCCTCGCCCCTACCACTCAGCCCTTAGCCCTCTGTTCTGCGCGTTCACGTCTAGGGGTAGGGTGTCCTGATTCTTGTTGAGATAGAGAGGGAGGGTGAAGTGCTGGAGCTACATGACCCTCCAAACGGAGGTTTTTCAGAGACTCCAAACAGAGTGATATGAGAAAAAAAGAAAAAACGGCAAGATGGAGAACAAGAGACCAAAGAAACCCACAAATGTGAGAATTTTCTCTGTTAAAAAATTACGATAACCACTGTATTATCTTTGTTTAATGTCATTTCAATGTATTTATGGTCATGTTCTTCATCATAACAAGCACAAAAAATCGCTAATAGCATGCTAATAGTCCAGCAGTTCTGACGCCTGAAGTGCCAGAATGTAACTGCTGCACCATTTAAGGTGGAACGGGAAAATTTTAACGAGAATCTGATGAATATCTGACTTCAGCTTCATATCACTGAAGAATTAGGGGTGGGTGATAATAAATAATTGCCCCCCTCTTTGAAGGCATATGATGTCCTAAATGTAACTAAAGCCCAGCAGTGAGGAGCTGAACTTTACCCTCCTCTGCTGTCACTGCAGACTGGCAGGGTCGCCTACAGAGCAGCGCTGGTAGCTGTTAATGAAGTGATGCTCTTTTTATTTGAGGGTCCCATTTCAGAGGGAAGATTTCAACCACTACCCTGTAACTCAGTTCCAAGGGGATTAGGGTGACACTCGAAAACAAGGGGTAGGGGTAGAAATGGGACTGGGCCTAAAAGAATGTCCTGTAATTAAAACGAAAATACATTGAATCATGCTTTATCTACATTCTTCTTACACGTTTAGCAAAATGGACTCATGACCTTAAAGGAGCTAAATAAAATATTCATACATAACAATTACACTCTGTCACAGCTTCTGCATTCCTTTGTAACAACATACAAACATTTATGAATTACGCACAACCTAGTGTGTTATAGCTATGTAATACATGGAACACACGAATGTGGAATGTGGCACAACTGAGACATAAACAAAGTGGTTTGGTGTGAAATGGTTCAGATGTCTTTACAGTGGTGGTGATAGGAACCAGGGGTCGCCATGACTACAACACAAATATAGACATTTTATTTACTATCCAGAACCACCAGTGAACCTACACGAGTCTTCTGAGTTTATATGGAATGTTGATGATGGAAAATAGTGGAAAATCTGAAATAATAAGTTTTCTTTGGGGACTATTTTGCCTCACAGCGCCCTGCATATTACGTATTCCTCCACCATGAATGGAGTTCAGGACCAAAACCTTCTCAAAACCATCATAAAACAGTGTCTCAGTCATCAGGCAGTGAATTCATAACCATTTCATGTAGGAACTTTCTGTGAGGGAGCTTTTAGAGGTGGACGTCTGGTTCCTATCACCACCACTGTGAACAGTTCTGACTCGGTAAGTTTCTCTAGAAGTCTAGAAATTTGGAAAATTCCATGGAATTCCCCTTTACACTGCATATTAACTAGCCAAAGAATAGCTGTTGGTAATAAAATACATTTTAACAACATGTAATAAGTCTGTATTCTTGAAATAACAAATAAACATCACATGTCTGATCCTCTAACGTGGCCTACGAATGTCAGCCAGCAGCCTAATGGGGTGAGGAACGGAATCACGGAAATACGGACATTCTCGTTGTGGTTTAGGCCAAAACTGGGGTGCAAAGACACGAACGAACACGTTCCTCACGTAAAAACACTAAGATCTCAAGTCAGCCTCATGTTCGAATTCTCCGCTCCACCTTAAACGGAACCTCGTAGGAATCCAAACGGGAAACAAGATTAGAAAGCAATACTGACGTGTTTGTTGTAACGATATTTCGCAAATTAAACACATTTCAGGTTAAGTTGGGTTGTTGAAATGGTTCTTATTTAAAAGGGAAGGAAAGCCACTGTTTAACCTACACGCAGCACGTAAACACACACAGACCTCGAGTTAGCTTTTTATTCGCGATCCTTTTTTCCGAAAGTCCCCGTTCCACCTTAAATGGTGCAGCAGTTGCATTCTGGTGCCTCAGTTAACCGCCGAGAAGAACGAGTAAGAACGTGAGTGCTGCACCATTTAAGGTGGAACGGGGAAATTCGAGTAAGAAGCCAAGTTCGGCTCAGATCTCGCTCTCACTCTCGCCATCTTACAGCCGAGCACAACACAACACAAACCGCCAGGAAACCCGCTCTGAGCCGACCCCCTGCTCGGTCTAGACCCCTCGGAGTACATGTAGGGGGTCGCTGGTGGTGTTTGGAGCCCTACCTGAGTGCTGGAGAGGCTCAGTTCAGGCTGTTTTGTTGTTTTTGTTGTTTGTGTATATGAGCGTATCTGAGCGTCCGACACTCCCTTCCGCTCAGCTCCGACACCAAACGGGAAACACGTCACGGCCAATCACAACGCAGACAACCCATGACGTCAGCATGAAAAATAAAAAATAACAGCTCAACCAAAAAAGTAATAATTTTAGGCTCGTTTAAAATTATGGCAGAGAACTAAAAAATCAGGTACCTGTTTCAGGAAAGTAAAATTATATATATATATATATATATATATATATATATATGTTTATATATAGGGTGTCCCAAAAACATTGACATCATTTCGTAGTCTAATATACAAACCATGTACTTGAGTTAAAGTAGAGATACCGAAGGTAAAATATGACTCCAGTAAAAGTAGAAGTTCCTCCCTTTAGACCTCCACTTCAGTAAAAGTACTAAAGTATTCGCCTTCAAATATACTTAAGTATCAAAAGTGACAGTACTAAAAGATTAATTATGGCTTTAATGTCCTGTTATCATTTTTGTAACAAGACTCGCTTCATTAACTCAGTTTAGGTGAAAATACTCCAGTGTCTCTCTTGGTAAACCAGTCTTTTAATAGAGTCATTAATTAGCGACGCTGATGTCTATTAAAATTATCATAAGCACAAAACACTGAAGGCGAACAGTTTCCATCAGGTAGAACTGAGTGCCTCTGAAATCACTTTTTACAAACAAGCAAAGTTTCAGTTTAAGATTTATTTGGAACTTAATTTAAATAAAAATTAGTTTAAATTTAAACAAGTTCACAGGTTCACAAATGAGTTTCCTTTACTAAACTGCATCTGTAGGTCTCTGTTCATAAACATAAAGTAGCACAAACAGATTTACTATAAAATGAAATAGTGTTTGTATAAATTCAGATAAAGAAACATGCCAGTCATATTTCTATATTGTGGTCTATTGCCCTGGCGCTGTGCCCTGATTGGTGTTCTTACTTTGCGCTTCTTTTGTTTTGACGTTATGTTTTTATTCACACATAAACCAAAAGGAATGACAGATTTCTCATAATGTAGTGGAGTAAAAAGTGAGATATTTGACTTTGAAATGTAGTGGAGTGAAAGTAAAAAGTCACTAAAATGGAAAAACTTCAGTAAAGTACAGATACACGAAAAACTACTTAAGTACAGAAACAAATTACATTTACTTCATTACTGTCCACCACTGACAAATTTTAACAAAATGTGTAAAAACTAACCAAGTTTAATTTTTAATGTTTTTCAGGTTTAAGAACGGCGTTCAGTAGAAATGAAAAGGCGTTTTGTGTGTTAGAATATGCTCAAACACAGTCAAACGAGAGTGCAGCAGCATTTTGGAGAAAATTCAATAAAAATGCACCAACTGGACAGCAGATTCGGACACGGCACAAAAAACTCAAAGAGGAACGCTGTCTGTGCAGTGCAAAGGGATCTGGACGACCACCAGTATCAGAAGATATTACATTTGTGAAGCTGTGAAATCGGTTATAAAATCTACATCCCTCTGAATTTCTTGTTCGAATTTTGATAAATAAATCTTGTATTGTTGAACATGAAGCCTATTTAATTTCATTTTCCAGGATATGTAGTTACTCAGATACTCACACCTCAAATAATGTTGTCAATTTTTTTGGGACACCCTGTATATTTACACACATTATGTGTATATATATATATATACACACACACACATATATATATATATATATATATATATATATATATATATATATATATATATATATACACACACACACACACATATATATATATATATATATTTGTGATAAAGTATATATATACATGTATATATAAAGTATATATATAGCTTAAATGTTTTTTTGTATGGTGACATGGTTCTTCAGATTAATGGAGAATGTGCTATGGATGGTTCTATATATATTATATATATTATATAATAATATATAAGTATTTTTTGTGATAAAGTATATATATATATATATATAGAACCATCTATAGCACATTCTCCATCAATCTGAAGAACCATTTAAGCTTTGAGTGCTCATGGTTCTATATAGAACCATTGTCTGTACTAAAGAACTCTTGAAGAACCTGTTTTAAGAGTGTAGGATGCTGATCAAGGGCCAGTTTCCTGAAAGCGCCTTAGTGTTAAGATCATCTTAACTGGTAGAGAGAGAGCGTTCAGTGTGATGCTCGCTCTGCCATTTATGTGCCTTTGTGCTGTTTTGGGGAAAAGCTGTTACACTGAATAACCGCCAGGTGGCGACACCGGACCACTTTCAATAGCTTTACAGCGACACACTTTCATCTCAAACTACTTTATTTATCTATGAATGGATCGTTTTGTTTACACGCGTTTGAGTCGTTGGAACTAATTTTAATAATTCAGACTCATTCGGTTAATTTGGAAACTGTTCTTGTCTGAAAAGTGTAACAGCGCCAAATGTTAAATGGAGAGTTTCACTGACTGAACTTGACCTCTGGAACCTTAATTAAACCCCGAATTGACGATTCACAGGTGGAAAAAAGGTTTATAGCTGATTGTTTACATCACTTTATGCTTCATACATGTAAAAATGTTTTATGAGCCTCAAAAGGTGAACATATATCCAAAAATCCAGTACAGAGACCTAAAAGTGCCAGTAGTTACTTCTCGCTTTGGAGATTAGCGAGCTAGTTAGCGTTAGCTAGCCGACGTGTTAGCCAGCATGAACAACAACAACTCAAACAAGTTTAACAAACCTTAAAACCGCCTCTGACACCACCAATGTCACAAAACAGGAGGATGAAGAGTTTAAACTGTGATGCTGATCAATTAACTGATCAATAACGGTCTGTTTATTCTGCTCTTCTCAGCAGAGAGACGCAAATTCACGAAGCGGAAATGAGCTTCTTACTCGCGTTTTCCGGTCCACCTTAAATCGAGCAGCAGTAACGGTCCGACATTCATGAACTGCAGAGTGAAGCTGCGGCTCCGTTTAAGGTGGAACGGAAAGGTTAAAAGCCGTGCATGTTCTAGATAAGTAGTGAAACCGTGCAGCTACTAGATGAACAGAACGATGATATTTTATTAAGACAGGCAGTTTAATAAAGATCAGCTCACAACAACAGAAATAAAGGCTGTGTCTCAAATGGCTCCATGCTTCCTGTGTAGGGCGGGTCAGACTAGGACATCTACACCGAAATAGTGAATTATATGTCCAATAAGAAGTCGTGCAGCCTTTGGCTGAATCCCAAATCACTCTCTATTGTATCGCCCTGTTTGGATGGAGAAGCCATTATTGTATGAGCTACACAGAGCACTGGAGAGAGAGAGAGAGAGAGAGAGAGAGAGAGAGAGAGAGAGAGAGAGAGAGAGAGAGAGAGAGAGAGAGAGAGAGAGAGAGAGAGAGTACTATGTGTATGTATATATGTATGTAGTGAAGTCTGGTTGCCATAGTTACCGAGCAGCTTCGGATGACGTCATAAAGAGCGCGGGACCTTCTTATAAATAGCTGCAGTTTCCAGCCTCGTGTTCAGTCAGTGAGTTGAGCGTGTGAGGTTCGGATGTGCGATATTTATCTAGAACCCGAAGTGTTCTCACGTAGAACAGCGTGGAACTTCTCTCGTACGCAAGCGGATAAAAGGTGAGTACAGTTTAAACTCATTTACACCCCAAAAAAGAAGGAATAGAAGATAATTAAAAAATGAAGATATAAATCAGGACAATAAACCATGTGGAAGAGAAAAAGAACCAGAACATAAAAAAGAACCAGACTATTAAAAAAGAACCAGACTATTAAAAAAAGAACCAGACTATTAAAAAAGAACCAGAATAGAGAAAAAGAACCAGAATATAGATAAATAATTATAATAGGAATAGAGAACCAGAACAGAATATTATAGTAGAGAAAAAGAACCTGGATGGAGATACAGAATTTAATAATTAGTATAATGAATAGAAATCTGAGTTCTTCACATAGAACCATCTGACAAAATGGTTATTTTTATATGTGTAGTGATGATTATGTTGCAGTTTATTATACTGGTTATTCTGTATTACACAACCTATTATTATTATTATTATTATTTTTATTATTATTATTATGTTTAACCTCTATGATGGTGAACTCATATATGTTTCCTTAAATAATCCTTTTAAAAATGGTTCTAATGCTCCAAATAGAGTTCCACCATTATAAGTCACAGAACCTTTTAGCTGCTCAGTGTCTGTTTGAATGTGTTTCTGTGGTGTGTATCAGTAGTGGAACCCAGTGGAACCTTTTGCGGAGGGTGTAAAACGAGCTTTTATGATGCTCATGTCGGTCAGTGCTGACACAGAAATGACCTGAAGATCAGTCACTGTATATCAGTCAGAAGAGGAAGATGTGCTTCAGTGAAAGTTTGGGTTCTGTGTGTAGAACAGTTCTGTGTGATGTGGTGAATAATGGGCGGTTCTGATCATCACACACAGATACATTAACATAATCATGAGCTGTTTCATTTTACACTGATATGAAGTTTGTAGTTAATTATGCTTGATTGTTTAGACAGTAATGTGTTTATAATGATGTGACTGCTGAACTGCTATAACACGCACATTGCTAATAGCGCCCCCTTGTGGAGAATGCTACTTCATCAGCAGGACAAAAGTACATTAACATTTGTGTCTTATCAGAACAAAAGGCTGCTGTGGGATGAAGGTGGTAACTCTGTGTGACGCTGTGATCTGGTAGGTTTAGCTGTATTTCTTTCTCTGATTTCTTGTGTTTTGTGTTTTAAACTCTCAGGACAGTCTAACATGGCGGGAGAAGAGCTTCGTAACGCAGCAGCAGCTTCTCTATCAGAGCCTGACGGCTCGACTTTGTCTCAGGACGTCTCCCGTTTCCTGCAGAGCCTGACTGATCGGTATGTACTCAGCACTGAGTGATCCAGCCAGGATTTACTCTACATATTTACTATCATGTTTACACAACACACAAACATATATACAAGTAAACAAATACCAAATATATCTATTAATAACATTATTGTGCATAAGAAATAAAACATCTACACTTTTCAGCTGCAGTAAGTCAGCGTGGAGAGCTTTTCACTTTGATTTCTTTAAATGTTGAAGTTTTGTGTGTAAATTTGCAGACAGTCTTTTACAGAAAGAAGAGTCAGTATTGATCCACTCAGCACTGACGGCTTCAAACAGCTGAAGAACATCGCAGAGCTAGTTTGTGTTTAATAAGAGACCAAATATTCTCTATAGGGTTTAAATTTGGAGTCTTAATATTATTAATATGGTGGTAACAATGCTGAATCCTGATTGGTTGTTCCTGATTCTGTAGCAGTTGGTAGCCAATATAACGCGATCAAAAAAGCTAACAGACACAGCGTTTTTCTTAGAAAGGGGTGGTTCAATAAGCACAACTCATGAATTTGTTGACCTCTAACAGTCACTGTCTCTGTTACATCAGCACTAAAATGTCTTTCTGCATTATTTTAATCTTTCAGGCAATTACAGGTGATGCAGGATGGAATGCGTCAAATGGTGAGTGTTTTATTCAAAACTGTTTAATTTATAGTCAAAACCAAAGCAGACGACCCCTGTAAAACAATAGTAGTGATGACTGAGAGCTGTCATTATGTTTTCTGCTTGCAGTTCACAAGAGACGAAATCTCTGAGATGGTCGTGGACGTTGTGAAGATCATGACCACCATATCACGCAAAATCATTGTTCCACAGCTTGGAGAAGTTTTGAATCTGGACTCTCAGACGCTTTTCCCAAGACCAGGATCTTCACGTCAATCTTTGCTGGCGATCAACAAAGATGTAGTGAAGGCCATGCTGAAGACCATCGGTGGCTTTCTCGAAGAAAAGGAGGATTCTCACATGCTCCAGCTTCTTAGCAATGTGATGGATAAAGTCGAGCTCCTGCCACCCACACATGGGTCAGTCGAGCTCCGTCATTCGTCACTGCCTGTTGAGCAGAGGATCAAGAAACCCAAGGAACTGACGTCCGAAGATCAGGCACAACTTCAGGAATGTGCCAAAGACATGATTCTTGAGATCTGCTCCATCAGTGAGTCTAAAGAACTCGAGAGGAAAAGTGAGACAGAACTGTCTTACCCTCCCAAGATGAGCATCACAATTAGGGAGTTTGTCGATTGTCTTTTATCAGAGCTGGTAGACATGACTAAGTCATCTCGGAGTTCATTGATTAGTGACGATATCGGCTCTGATCCGGCCCGTAACGTTCACAGAATTCCCAGCCTAATGAAACTGTCAAGGATGGCTTTCAAGATGGAGAACCAAACTAAAGCTTCCATTCCTGCACAGACTCTGAGAAATGCATCCTCATATGCCAGAATCTTCGTGGACGAGCTGTTACTCCAGCTGGAGTCGATAACTAAGTCCGAGGATTCTGATGATGACCAGGCAAAATGTAGACAAGGTTCCCCTGATTTGTCTCGCACAGCTGAGCTGCTTGTAGACCACATAATGGCTTACATTCAAGAGGTCTCAGCTTCACCCTTTGGAGACGACATTCCTGCCGTTCCTCTGGATTTTCCGGTACCGTCTTTCCTTCAAAGCTGCTCTCCTAATACCTTGGAGAAAATCCAGAGTGAGGTCTCTCGAACCAAGGCAGCTCAGGCAGTGAGAGAAATCTTACTGAAGTCTTCAGAGAGCCTCCTTGTAGGTTCTCTCCGTTCAGTGAGTGCCCAGACCAGCCAGACAGATTCCAGTGCGGAACCAAGTCCATCTGAATGCTCAGCAAAGGCATCCGCAATCGTCGATTCTGTCATCGATGGAATTTGCACCTGTCTGCATTCCAGTGCGTCATCCAGTGGTTCGGAAGAGACACGATCTGAACCTTCAGATGGGAGGGAATCAGGTTCTGATGTCTCTGAGGAGAACCTGTGGTCCACTGTGTACAGTGTTTACAGCAGTGCATTGAGCGAGCTCAGGGATTTTTCTGCAGCGTGTCGGCAGAGAGCAGCGAAGGTCGACCCTTCAGACATTGATGTGGGGGGAACTGTTGATGAGGTCCTTCAGGCAATTACAGACCAACTTGCCTTATCAAGAGGTCATCAAAGTTCAGAGGAACCACAGCTGACATGTGACCTAATTAGGTCCACGTTGGGCAATAAAGTCATGGACAAACATCCTTTACGTCCAGACAGATCTTGTCCCGTCATGTCACCTGAACACACTGTCTCACTTCCTGGGACCCCGACTCCTTCTGAGTCATCTAAGGGTGAAGGTAAGGAATCACACCTTCAAGGACCATCTGTAAGGATTACAGATGAACAAGAGCGACCAAAGAGCAGAGAGAGGGTTTCCATGGCCACTTTAGTGGACATCATGATGACCTCCTTGGGTTTACAGGGCTCAGGTCATTATATGTCTCTTGCTGAGTTATCTGCAGCGGCCAAAAGAGTGGATGACCTGATTTTGACCAGAGCCGTTCAGGAGTTCGCAGACAAGTTGCAGATCATACTAAAGGACAGACTGATCTCCCTGAATGTCTCAGACTCTGTTGTTGGTGTGAGAAAACTGCAGAACCACACTGACCCTCAGCGCCACTTTACTTCTGAATTTCTTGGAGAATTTGCAGACGAGTCAGTAAAACGTGTGCTCATGTCCTGCATTGCCCCTCGACCAGCTTCTGCCTCAGCTGAAGATATTCCAAGCCTGGTGATGCCCTTCAGAGTCACTCCTAAAAGTTTTGAGGTCTCAAGACCCCCATCTGACGTGTTTGCTGACACGATAGATCTGTTCTCCAGAGAGATTGTGAACACTGTAATGGACAATGTGTTAGCTGATGTGTGGGATGCTGCCTCAAATGCTGAAGAAACACCAGAAATGAACTCAGGCAGCTCTGAAAAACTCAGTAAATCTCACAAGGCCTTGATTCCTGATTTACGGAAGCTTCTAGATGCAGGAGCTTCATCTGCAGTGCCTGAAACAGAGGGGAAGAAGAACCTAAGCTTGAAGAAGCTCAAGAGCATATTCTTCAAATTCAAGATGCCAAAAATGAACATCTTCAAAAAGGTAAAGAATAATTTTTACATAGTTTTAATGTTGAGCTATTTTATCCCAGTAATATGAATTACATTATATCAGTAGCAGAATATTATAAGCATTATTAGTATTAACACTTTGAATTGTGGTATGACTTAAATGATTACGAGGTTGGTAATATGATCAACGTCTCTCATCACAGAAATCCAAAAAAGGCAATAACGCTGGATCTTCAGATCAGGACCGTCTGCAGAGTCGTCGCACTGCTGATATGAGTAAGTTTACACTGTTAATCAAGTTTATATATAGTTTAGGTTTAATAATGTGAAAAATGTTGAGCTGAATGTCCCTGAATATAACGTTAAAAGTAGGCATTACAGAGATAATAATACAGCCATTTCAGTTATCAGGTAGACAAACACTGAACATGTGATTTTCTCTCTGCAGGTGGAGCCGACAGTGCGACTTCCAAAAAGGAGAAGCCTTGGAGAACTTCCATCTTCACCAGGATGTTCTCCTACTTTAGGAAATAAGCCGCCTCATCCCTCTAAGTTTCTTTATCTACCCCGTCATCTTTATCTTCGCGTCTCTAGGTGCTCCCTTTAGGCTGAATCCTGCCAGAAAACAAAATCACCTATCACAGTTATCCTGACGACACCCAGGTTCACTTCACTCTCTCACCAAATGACTGTGGTCCCATAGACACTGTGTGTCGGTGCTCAGAGCAAATCCGGAGTCGACCAGAGGAGGATGGGTTCCCCTTTTGAGTCTTGGTTCCTCTCAAGGTTTCTTCCTCTTGCTCTTAGGGAGTTTTTCCTTGCCACTGTCGTCCTCGGCTTGCTCATTTGGGGCTCGGACCCGGATTTGCTCTGAAGCTGCTTTGTGACGCTCGTAAAAAGTGCTCTAATGGATCCGTGAACATTTCCTCCTAAACAAAGACAGAAGTGATGTAATTCGGCAGTGAGGAGGAAAGACTGAAGGTCAGTGAGCACTTCAGAGCTCCAAAGACTACAGACCACGTAAGAATCCTGGGTGAACTAACGGATCCAAATTAAACCTGAAATCCAGCCTGAAATTTTGGCCCGAATCCGAATTTAGGCTAAAAACCTTCCAACGACCGGTTAGATTACAGTGTAACAGCAATAATATCTGCTGTTCAGAAGTGATGATGATAAAAAATGATCTGATGAAAATATCAGCCGTCCATAATTCAGTTTAAATTCTGTGGTAACACATTGACTCACAGTGCAGTGCAGGATGTTAACCTTCACCTGTTTAACTCTAAAACTGTATTTCTGTAAATAGACTGTGTTCAACATACAGCAGGAACAGGTTTGGCCAAAGAAGTGAAACGTAAACGTCCGTCTGGCTGCACTAAACCAGCTCGCCTGCTGCTCGAAGCTGGAATCAGCTGCCAGAAGGTCTCAGATCTGCCCCTAATTTGTCCATCTTCAAACTCAGACTCTTCTTTTTATCTCCAGCATCTTTCACACTTTCTGTTTAGACTTTACTCTCCTTTTTCATTCATTTCATTTTTTATTTCTCCCTTATTTTATTGTCCTGTTTTTATTTTGCTTTTATTTACGTAAAGCACTTTGAACTGCTCCTTTAAAATAAACTTGTAGTAAATAAACATGACTCCTGAAATCTTAATTACACATCTACATTTATGATTCACTCACAATGTTACATTAACACTGTAAGTACAGTCATAAGTGATTTGGGTCATTTATCTATCTATCTGTCTATCTATCTATCTATCTATCTGTCTATATATCAATTTATCTATCTCTCTGTCTGTCTATCTATATGTCTAACTATCGATCTATCTTTCTATCTGTCTATCTATCAATCTATCTATCTTTGTGTCTGTCTTGCAGGTGCAATAATACAAAGTCACAAAAGAGCAGCTCCGCAGTTTGATCTTATTATCGGTGCTAAAGAGTCGCTGTGCATGTTCAGTAAAAAAGGTTTTTTTCATTAAAACTGAACAATTCAGATAAATAAATATTTTTATTGTTTTGTGAGTTTCACCAATGTCCAATATCTGCTGCACTGTTGGCTGTTGTTCATAATTATCTAGAGTGTAAAATAATGGCTACAAGCTGTGATGTTTTTCCTCTAGAGGGCAGCACTGAGGCTCAGTTTGGCCTAATAATCACATATTTATGCGCTTTCATTTCAGCACATGGCCCTGCTGAAGCTGCAGTAATGAGCTTCACCATAAGAGGGTGCCGTTCAAACCAATATGAATTAATATAATGTTGAATATTTATTTCCTGTGTTTATGTAACTGAATACATATAAAGTATTTTGAATGCATATAATCAGAACACAGAAATTAAATATGTTACTTTTATGTTATTATATTACTTTTTTGTATTTTATTAATTTTTATTAATTACTATTTAATTAATTACTAAACATACTTGTTCGATGAACTCTAAATAGGTTCTTTACAAACACTGAAGGTCCTACTAAAGCCTGAGTGGACTGATAAATCAATGTGATGATAAATCAATGTGATGATAAGTTATTAATCTCAGTGTTACTGAGCTCTGCTAAAGCCTGAGTAGACTGATAAATCAATGTGATCGGTTATTAATCTGTGTTACTGAGCTCTGCTAAAGCCTGAGTAGACTGATAAATCAATGTGATCAGTTATTAATCTGTGTTACTGAGCTCTGCTAAAGCCTGAGTAGACTGATAAATCAATGTGATCAGTTATTAATCTGTGTTACTGAGCTCTGCTAAAGCCTGAGTAGACTGATCAATATGATGTATTGATACTCATATTACAGTCTTTGGTTCAAACTCAAATAAACTTCAGGACTCAAATAAAACAGAAACCCATAAAATCAAGAACTGAAATTTATTCTAATTCAGTAAAACTAACTGTAATACAGCAGTTGCAGCATTTCAAAGGCGAACTCTACATCACTGTTTGGTTTCATTACACAAAAATATTAAAAAAGAAAGAAAGTGATGCCCATAAATCATAACAACGAGACAAACTACAGTGCAATCATAACATCATGGCTGACAAACCAAAGAAGATCAGAGCTGTTCAAGTCTTCAGGTGAGGACGCGCCTTAATTGGTTCAGGTCAGAACCAATCATTATCAGATTCAAGTCTGATAATGATTTGGAAATAAAAATAAATTAAAGTTAAATCTGCGCTGCCTCCTTCACTCCCTGTGTGATCAGAGTGAGTCGGGAGTGTTCATAGCTCACTCTGCTGCTGTACTGACGAGCTCTCGGTTCTTTGAAGGAACTCAATGAGAACCATTTGTCCCCCCGATAAAGGATGAACACACATTTGCTACATTCATTCTTCTTTGTTGTCCTTCGTACAGAAAAGTTCCTCAGAGGCGGCGTTACGAACGTGGAAGACGTGAAGCTGGAGCAGATCATATGACCCATCCGTGGTTGTGTCTCTCACTGAGGTCAGTTTACATCGGGACGTCATGACCTCACAGCAACGACAGGCTGAAAGCGGCTTCTTATTCATTCACCAGCTCTCTTTCTGGAATCTACCGTTCCACCTTAAACAGTGCAGCAGGTACATTCTGGCACCATTTAAGGTGGAACGGGAAATTCCAAACACAAAGAAAACTTTAGCTTCATCACAGCGGCTCCACTCAAACCTCTCACCGCTTTAAAAACAAGCTCGGTTTCCATTAAGCACTAATGGATGAACCACAAACAGGTAGAAAAACAACCTGCTGTAAACAAGAACACCGACATTTCACCTCGAATGACACAACACGGCCTGTCGTCACTGGAACGGACAAATCATAGAGACCGTTTCACGCTGTGGCCGAGCGGCAGCGCTGACCGGCCTGAGGTTTCTCGTTTGGTCCAAAACAAAAGAAAATAAAAAATAAATTAAAAGTGGGGAGAAAATGAGGCACCGAAAAAAAGGGACTGGGAATGTCCGTCTTTGGGTGGATCGTTCAAGTGTGTTTACTGAAGAAGACAGTGGGGTCGAAAGTACTTGATTCAAACGTTTACATTATTTCCACATCAATAATGTATATGAATTATTATAAAACGGCACCTTTTTAAGAGAAATATTAAACATAACTCATCATACTGGATTTTAAACACTACATTCTTGTGTTTCTGTAATCCTCCACCAAAATATAACTTTTGTCCCACCCCTAAAACGTCTTCTGATATTTTGATGATGTCACCGTGCACCAGTGGGAGGGGCTACGTAATATTAACCAGTAGTATCACTCTCGGCTAGCTTAGAGACGCTCCCTGAAATTGAGTTTCACTCACACATACATCACGATAGAAGAAGAAAATGATCTGTGATCTCACAATTACGCTGACTGTAATGAACGTTAATGTAAGGAAATTTTATTCCATGTAAATTTGGACCGTTTCTATTGGTCCAAATCTATTCACCATAATTTCCATTGAGATTTCCATTGAAGACATATTATATCAACACCTTAAATGGCCTTAAAAGGCCTTAAAACTCACAGCTCCAAACTTCTATTAAGCAGTAAAAAGTTTCTGCATGAATTTCGTCTATTTACTATTAATGGAGCTGTAACGTGTCACTCTGTGCGCCGCTACGCCGCCTTCACTGATGCTCAGAGTGACCTTTTGTAGGCCTTTTTTGGCTTGTAGTTTCTGTAGAATATCAAAACGTGTAGTCTGTATTTCAGACTTTCTTAAATCATAAAATAGTTAAAAATCTGGGTGAACGCTGCTTTATTCACATCTGAGGATAGTTTGTGTTGTAGTCCGTGTAATAACTGTATAATAAGCCTCAGGATGTTATAAGCTTGGATTTTAACGGTTAACCCAGCTTGTCTCTCAGGTTACTCACTGCTGTCAGTGGTTTGTAGAGCATAATGAGTAAAACTGCTACCCTCCACGTAACAGACTAGGGGTCAGTTCCCCGCCTGGGCAGCACACCAGTCCTTCTGAAAGACTCTACCTGACTCTGACTCTACACTGGCTGTGCTCCAAACGCATGAATGTAAACTGTGTTGATGTAATATATGTTATTAATGTGGAGAAGATGTACGTGTGAATCGAGCCAGTTGACCCCACTGTATCCTTCAGTACGTGTGTTTATTGGTGAGTGTGAGGGTTTCAGACTGATGCTGAATCAGCTGGACTCCTCTGGGCTGCTTTCCACAACCAGGTCCACTTCCAGGAAGTCAGTGGGTGTGTCCTCGCTGTGCGTGTCTTCCTGTTTCTCCTCCTGCGTCACACCTTTCCTCCTGCAGCAGCACAGTCCGAGTTTGGCGGGCCGGACCAGACCCAGAAAAAGCGCCCCCATGCCCACGCCGGCCGCGCTGGTGTAGAAGGCCGAGCCATAATTCTGCGTCCTGTCGACCAAAGCGCCTGAAAACACAACACACACACGCAGGGAGTGAGCGGGGTCAGCAATGCAGGTGGGCACCCAGGGTCTATAAGAGTGTTTCCTGTTATAAAATGATGATGATGTCATCAGCCAAGATGTGTCAGGTGTCTAATGTAACTAACAGGTAATGGAAGCTTACACCCCACCAATCAGCATGGAGTCAGTGTGGAGGTGTTCAGTATCTCTAATATCTCTAATAATATCTCTAATAATTATGTGGTTTCTGACACTGTATGACTCACTGTTATCTACAAACATGGACTGAAGTACATTAGCTTAGCTAAACACACTAGCAGCCACCTGGAAGACTGAACTTCATCCACTTTTGTTCACCTGGTGGGGTATAAGCTTCCATTACTTATTAGCTGCATTAGCCTCGTAGCTAAAGGAGCCAATTATGGACCCCAACAGGGCTGTTGTCATCAATTACATCAGTAAATTGAGTAATGTAGCAATTATTTAGATGATTAATTACGGAATTTTCGTTGTTTTTAAGTCATTTCTATCACTTCACACAGAGCCCAAATACCAACCCTATGATTATGCTAATATCCGCCAGCACTCATATGGGAATTTCAGTGTTATTTTAGCACCAAGCTAACAAGGCTGTACATCCACTTCCCACACAGGCTGTAATGCTACTTAAGCTCTACTTATGCATATACATTTGAAGCACTGAAGCTTCTAACAGGCATTTAAGTGTCTTATTGTTTACTTTGTATGTTGCAGTTTTACAGCGAATCTTCTGATAAAGCCAAGCTTTTAATTTTAATTCATATATTTTGAATTTATTTAATTTTTTATGCAGTTCAGTTGATTTCACTCTACATACATGAAATCTGTAAGTACAAACATATGTGCATTAGTGAGATTCTGCTGGTGTGGGTTTCCTCTCTTTCAGTGATGCTTGTAAAAGCGAATGCTAATAGCTCCCCCTTGTGGAGAATGTTCAGACTGCTGAACAGCTTTATAATGACACTGATTATCTTTTGAATTGCAAACTAACAGCCAAGTCAATTCATCGAGAACACAGTCTTTAATCTATGATTTTTTAAAACTTATAATCAATTTTAAGTAATCGAGTTCCTTTAAATAGCATAAGGTGTGCAGTATTATCTACCTGCTAGTGGTGGACCAGCCAGCCCAGCAAAGCTCTGGATAAAAACGTAAACTCCGACGGCCGATGGCATCCTCTCGATGCCCACCACATCGTCCTCAGCCAGCATGGGGATGTGGGTGGAGCCTACGGTGCCGAACAGGAAGCCGAAGGCGGCGCAGCAGGAAGCCAACCCCCAGAACTCGGAGACGGCGGTGAAGAGCGCCAGCACCAGGCTCAGCAGCAGCGTACAGATCAGCAGGATGTAGATTTTTCGGATCGGCTGGCGGTTCAGCACCCAGCCAATGGAGAGGCGTCCGAATATTTCGGCCACGGCCATCGTGGACAGCATGTAGGTGGCTCGATCGCGTTCTAACCCGCGGCTGACGCTCAGTTCAATCACATAGAGCTGCGGGGCGAAAAAGCCCAGCGTGGCGAAGAGGCCGAAGAGAGAGTAGCAGATAAAGCTGCAGTCCGTGAGCACGGAAAAGTCCAGAAGTTTGGGCCGGGCCGCCCGCGGCTCCGCTTTCTCCTCCTGCTGTGCTGTGGGCTGTTTTAGAGGAGTTGAGGGAAGTGCTGCAGGTTCAGGTTCCTCCTCTCCTCTCTCCTCCACCAGCTGCAGTTCTGTGGTTTGTTCTGAGCCTCGTTCCGCCGCACTGCGACTCGGGCTGCACGACACAAACAAAACACCAACCTGCGATTATATTTCTGCGAGATTTCTTGCAATTAGGAGCTGACCACAATAAAAACTGTAAACAATATCACTTTTAAGGAGCTAAAAATTCAGACAAATAATAATTTTATATGGTCAAAAATTAGACTCCAGTAGTTTTAGTTAAATATTGTTTTACTGACCAATATTTTATACTGGCGAATTGTCAAATATGATGATTGTCAAATTTCCTGAACTAAAATAAACATCTGGAACTCACGAAGTCATACATATTATAATTATTGTAAAACAGGGGCAGAGCTTTCCAGAAATCTTAGTTTTGTTGGTTTCTGTTAACCTCAATCTTGTATGATTTTGATGTTAAATGAAATAGTTTAGGCTCTGCTTGTGACACATCAACTATCCTAACTTTTAGAGATTAGCTAAAGTGCTCATTTGTCTACTGCAGCAATATCAGTACTCCAAAGGCCAATATCACAGAACTGATTAATGATATATATTGCATAAAGTCCTATAGTTCAGTTAAACAGGCTGGGTTTGCTTTCGCTCGGTGGTTAGCTTTCTCTCTGTAGGTTTCCCTCACTTGAACGTAGAGAGGGGGAACATCTGTTAAAGCTATGTGGGCGGGACAACCCCAATCAGCCTTGTGAGGATACTGCTTTCGTAAGCAAAACCCAAGATTAAGACCACTCGATTACCACGACCATTTATTGGGCATCGCAAAGTTATTCCTGGCACATAAACAAGGATTTAGTTTCCCTTTAGGTTTTCTGAAGTTTGTCCACTTTTAATTGGTGACATATAAACCTCTGTCACTTGTTAGATACATCACATAAAGATTAACCAATGATATATTGAACACAGTCTTACCTCGGACCCTCAGCCAGGTTGGTTCTGGAGGAGGAGATGGACTGCACCCCGGAGTCCACGGAGCTGAAGGAGGTTCGGGTAAACTCGTTCTCCAGCTCGTATTTGCTTTCGGTTTGTTTGAGGGGAGACTGAGGCCCCTCCTCCTCCTCTGGGGCGGAGGGTGTGGGCTGGATGATGATGGGCCTGAGCAGCGCTCCAAAGGCAATGACTGACGCCTGCAGGAGCCCAATCACAACCAGGCAGTTCCTCCAGCCGATGTGATCTTTCAGGGCACTCAGGGCTGCAGAGTGAGAGAAAAATAGCAGCGATGCTTCAGCAATATATTCCTAATGGGGCCCTTTAAGGAAATAATTACTTAGACTTAAGCTGAATCTCTTTCAGGAGCAGCCGGGCAAAACAACTAACAGCTGAAAATGTATTGCTTCAGTGTTGAACTGGCTCCTTTAGTTTATTTATATAGCACATTTCATGCACAAAGGCAATTCAAAGTGAGTTACATGAATGAAACTATACAATTAAAATAGCATTATTGCTATGTTTTCATATATAGATGCCGAACTGTGCCATCAACAAAGTAAAAAACAGCCCAAAGCTGAATGTAAATATCTAATATTAGCTTTCTATCTAGCTAATTTAACCAGCCAAAACCAGCCTAATCAGCCAAGTTATGTTCGGTATTTAAAGTTAACTTCTTTAGTTTTGCACAGGAAAGAAGAAGCTAACGTAGCTAATCAAAATATAGTCCATATAAAAAGGTGGAAACTGCATTTTATGGCTCCTGTGAAAAGCGATAAAGGAAAATTTGTGTAAATCTGTCTTTTAAGTTTAAGGGGATTTAATATGGTACAAGATATTTACACCCTGATGAACACAGTGGGCCTTTTGGCTGAGTGGGTTCACAGACTGCTCTCCTTTCAGTTTAACAGCAGAAACTATCACATGGCAGAGTGAGAAGCACTCTGTTCCCTCTTTACTGTGCAGTGATGATGACCAGCTCTGTGGCCAGGTGCGCTGGCGTTACCTGGAGCTAAAACGAAGAGGGAGAAACACTCTCCGGTTGAGGCGACGGACGTGACGAGCGATCTGCGCTTGCTGAAGTACTGCGAGAGGATGGTGACTGTAGGCAGGAAGGTGAGGCAGTAACCCAGGCCTGTAAACAAACAGCACAAAGGATAACAGCCACTGGCGCCCTCTACTGACACGGGCTCAGGTCAGGCTACGGGGGGTTAAAGCACGGCACGCACCAGGCCGCTGGCTTCCACGGGACCCAGTGGACATAATTCTGAAAGAAAACTGCAATTAAGAGAGACAAAAAAGGGACAAGGAGAAAAACAAAGAAAGAAATCGCTGGGTTAGGGCGCGTCCATTTGCAGAAAAAAGAAAGTGCTCTGATAATCGGGGAAAGCTAGCAGAAAAAAAAGTCTGCCAGGTGATGGCGTGAATTTCAAAGGATGAAAAGCGATGGATATTAATACATTGAGGAAATAGGTTGCCATTTTCATCATTTTGATCAAAGTGGTACAAAATCTGGTAAAATTACAACATAAATCAGCACAAATGACAGATGGAATCATGACTCAGCCAATTCTGTAAGAAAACATGGTCAGATCAGTCGGAGCACTGCTTGGATTCCCTCTCAGTACCTTCAAGAAGAATTGTGAATTACATTGATTTGTGCAGAAACACAGTCAGAGCTTTTAAAGAAAGTCTGAACCACACAGTGCGTCTGTACGGTGATTCAGCAGAAGGTGGACAGCAGGAGGGTGGATGAAGCTGGGAACTGCAGGGATGGTCAGACTGGTTGTAACTTGTTGTTGTTATGTAATAAGTAATAAGTTATATTGCAGGTGTGAAGTGAATAAGTTATGATCCACCATCGCTGACTCGAATGCAGGTGTGTCCCTACAGCTGAGGTGTGAAGCAGAAACAGCTTCATTTTCTTTTAATTTTTGCATTTTAAGAAAACTATAATACAGATTAGAGGTGTTAATCTCACTGTAATATAGATGTTCTAGTAGTGTAATAATAGAGCATATAGTGTTTCATATTGTATTGTACCACATTATATTATACTGTATTGTGATGTATCGTACTGTATCATATTTTATTGTATTGCATCATACTGTCCTGTATTGTATCACAACATAACATATAGTGTATGGTAACATATATTGTGTTGCATCAAACTTTAGGACATATGTTACCACAAAGTATCATATTGTATAGTATTATATTATATCAAAAAACAACATATAATATATCATTAACATATTATAATTTATCATATAATATTGTATTGCACAGTGTCATGCTGTCCTGTATTGTATTGCAACACATATATGAACTTATCATACTGTAATGTATTGTATTGTATCGTAACATATCATGTATCGTACTGTACCTTACTGTACTGTAGGGTATCACACTGTGTTATATAGTCCCGTATTGTACCATACTGTATCATATTATATTGTACTGCAGCATGTTGTACTTTTTCCTTGTATTGTACTATTGTATCATAGCATATTGCACTTTGGCTATGGCATTAGCCTGGGGCTAACATATTAGCTTGTGGCTATATAATAATAATGTAAATATAAATATAATTAATGTATATATAATATATAAATAAATATTAGTTGACTTAAGTGATCTTCCTCTCTGAACCTCTTGTTCTAACACAGCAGCTGAGTGTTAAAATGACACACTGAGTCCCACACACCCATATTAGGGTACAAAAACGCTGCATATGGGTTAACTGGGTTCAGTAAATGAACAGAGGTGCAGTCCATATAAAATGGTATGTATTAAGTTTAAGACACTTGTACAAATGTACTGGACACATGATCTACCACACAGAGGACACTGTTTACAGCAGTGGTCAGCACTGTTTAACACAAACAGATATAAGTAAAGACACAAAAACACAGACATATACACATTTACACACATCTTGGGCAGCACAAGTACCTGAGACAAGGCCCACGGTGACGTACATCTGGTCAATGGACTGCGTGAAGGCTGTGCTGACCGACCCCAGGCTGATCAGGAAACCTCCAAACATGACCACCGGCCTGCATCCGAAATGGTTACTCAGCACCGTGGATAAAGGGGCTGTGGAGAAAAACAACACAAATATCATTGGGATACATCACTAACTGTGATTTTAATCCAGTATGAATCTGCAGTGTGTAGTTTTGACTGTGATTATTCTGGACTGAATGGTCTTCTGTAATTGGCTGAACTCTGAGCTCTCAGTGATATTAGTCTCGTTACAATCCAGATCATGCTAACAGAATTACAGTACAGCTGTGCTCCGTGTTGTTATTGTTATTGAGTGTGTTCTGTGGCAAAATGCTGACATGAACATCCAGGTTATGACTTCAATCTGGGCTACATTCCCTGGTAAAACTAATCACAGCTTTTTGGTCTATTTCCAAAATGAAATTCAAAGCTGTGCTTGAACAGCTCCCAGAGCACAGAGGCCATTCAGGCCAACCACTCGCAGGGTTTATTCTGAGGAAGTCCTGTTTATCTCAGAGTTACCCATCAGAGTGATTAGACTGTGTTTGTGCAGGGAAAACTGCTGCTTTCAGCTCCTCTCAGCTGGAAGAATCTGAGTCTGTGTGCAGAAGCATGACGCGACATAATGCTTTGTCACAGGAAAGAGGCAGCTTGAGTCCTAGTCTGTCCTGACAACAGTCAGGGCGTTGAACCCAGACCAACTCAGCATATCTGTTTACATATGGATATCCTTTTCGTCTATGTGTGCCCACAAAATAGGCAAATCTACTGGCAGGACACTCTTCCATAGAAAGAGCTTATTATTGTAATTATTGTTACCATTATTAACATTAACAATATTATTATTAGTGACATAATCACTATTATTATTAGTATCATCAGGAATACTACACATTCTAAGGATGCATAAAGACATTAAGTATATTAAGTGTTGTGTATTGATGTCTGTTTGGTCTTGTGTGGTGTTTTTGAGAGAGAATGAGATCATTTTTAATACAAATTACAATCTGAATTTGAACTTGAACTCCTTTCATTGCTTTTTACTGCAACAGGTTTTACTTGCAATTCCTGCCATTTACATCTGAGCTCTAAGCACAAGATCTACATATAAGGCAAATTTATACCTGGGAAAAAGCTCATAAAGTACACTGTGGGAACATAAAAGCTCACGTGATGCTCCAGCGATATAAATGTCTGATGTCTAATTGCACCCAGACGGACTAACAGCACGAGGGAACCTTACTGAGAAAGCACTTTCTTGAATGACCTATTTCTAAATGTGTCTCTGTATAATAAAAGAAGAGCTGTGTCTCAATATACGGTGCACAGCCTTATTTTTTAAATTTGCATCCTGAACACAAAGGTTGCTCTATATTCTTAGATATGTTTAAATATGTTGTGGTGACGAGCTATGCAGCAAAGTCATCTTCACATGTATGTAATGCTATGGCCACAAGCTAACATGCTAGTTGTGATACACTGCGATACGTTGCACTGTAGTGCTTATACATAACTGCTTATTCAGCAATCCTCATAAACTTAAAACTCTGTTGAACACTGTAGTAATGCTGACAGCTGAGGTGAGTAAACTTAAACTAGCCACATTTAGGGGCAGAAATAATGGATTATTTGATGAAAAACTAACTAAGGAGTCTCAATAGGCTGTTTTAAATTGGTCCATTTCGGTTAAAATGTGGGTCTCCATAATTTAAACACTGAAAATAGCTGGCCTGTTAGCACTTACTAGCTGCTGTGTGTTGTGAGTGAACGGCTAGACTTCTTCTCTCTCCCTGTTTAGAGAGTATTAGACACAGCAGGACATTGTGTACTGAAGTATCAAACATTCAAAGTTCAAGCTTCTCAAAAACACCTCAAATAACATTATTGGGTGTTTTTATCATTATCTTTATCGTTTTATTGTCCAGTTCTAGCTAAATTTTCCCTAAAATACATCCCCAAAACATTTTATTGAGTGGCTGCTGAAGGCTAAAGGCAGGTGTCTGACCTGTGAAGGTCATCACGAAGACGCAGATGGAGACGATCCAGGACACTCGGCTGTTGGACTCTCCAAAATGGTTCGTGAGGTCTTGCAGGAAAATGCCGAAGATTTTGATGATGCCGTAGGTGAAGACCTCCACGAAGAAGAAGGCCACGGCCACGGCCCAGCCCCAGCCTCCATCGGGAACCTGCGGGTACACGTTGGCGCTCATGCACCCCCGCAGCGTGGGCACCAGTCCCTTCATGGCTGGAGATTTTTCTGCCTGAAAAACAAAAGCGTGACACGTCAGCAGAGGCAGGTAACCAGGTACATTTACAGAGTTACGTGTGCTCAGGTAAAACGGATGGATCTGAACTTTCCTGAGCATTTTCACATTTTCACTTCCATTTTAACCATCAATATCATTTTTGTGTATTCACTCTCATTCTGTTGTGTTGTTTCATCTCCTGGACTGTTTTACTGCTGCTCACACCTCTCACTTTGGAGCATTAGCATCAAATTTGAGACCAAAAGGATCCAAAAAGAGAAGAACAGAGACTCATAATCTTCAGTTCCTGTGCTGACAGAAGCTGGATGGACTGCATTTTTAAGCAGTTTGAGTTGCTGCTTTTGTTCTTTTTTTGTGTCGTTTTTGGACGGTACTTTTATTGTTACTGCCGTCATTAGTTCACTGCAGTAGTGACCCTTTTATTGCAGTACAGGTTATGATATGTACCTACTGGCACAGCAAACATGGCAGTAGATTTTGTCTCTGATAGCTGCAGATGTTGTTCCCCTTGACCCTCAGGCTGAGCCAGCACTGCGTGTAGATTACTGAGAAAAGCTGCCAGCTTAACCTTAATGAGGGCTTAATGTAAACACTGCACACAAGCCACTGCATGGACCCCTTTAAAGTGACAGTTTGGTGAGAAATCAGATTTACATGATTTTCCCCTTTCAGTGATCTCACATAGGCATGATTAGGCTTCAAGGTGGCTGCGACTGCTACTGTACTAATATACTGTTGTCCATGCTTATTTAACAGTGTGTCATACAGTTAGAGGTGGGCAATGTGACGATATTTTATCGCTATCATAATAAATTATGTCCCAATGTGCTTTTCTGAGCATATCGTCGATATCATCAGTACTTAAAGATCACTGACTACCTACATGTTTTATTACATAGTAAGCATTATTAGGCCAGTTTAACTGGATTAAGTGAAGTTTGAATAAAAATCTTATTATTATTTTAGTATTTTAGTATTTATATGTGGCCCCACAGGTTCGATTCTGTCTGTTCCAACTTATTAAATCTCAGAAAAACTAAATATTTTGATACATATTGTGCCTCGTGAAAATATCTCAAGGTATCATGCCATATCGCCCAATCCTCCCTGTCAAAAAACACATAAGCACTTTCTCCTGGGTACGGGCTGTGTGTGTGTGTGTGTGTGTGTGTGTGTGTGTGTGTGCGTGTGTGTGTGTGTGGGTGTGTGAATCTATCGATTGAATACCTAAAGGAATAAAATGTCTCTCCTAGCAGCTCGGCAGCGCTACAATCAGCAACAAGCTTTAATTGGTTTTATTCTGACTATGTACAAGATCCTGTTTCAGCCTGCGGATCCAGACGGTGTAATTAGTACCTAAAGATGTGCCTCGAGGGCTGAAAGTCTTTAAAAAGTTTTGGAAATGATGTCACAGCCACATCAGGACGCCTCATTTGTCCTTCAGGCAGCTGCTGATAAAGAACAGGATCTTTACGCTGTGCTTCCAGCCCCGGCTGGACAAGGTGTTCCAGCAGAACAGGACTGGTGAATGATGTCATAAAGTAGCTCGTCTGGGGCGGGGAGGCAGGGGACAAGGCACTGCAGGAGATAGAGATGATGCTGAATCTGGTGCCTCATTCACAAGACTGCAGTCCGCAGACACTACTGTCCCTTTAAATGTGGCGTAGAGCTGAGCTCTCAGCTGCTACTCATTAATAACCTAAATTCTAGGAGGAAAATGTACTGAAAATGTGATCATAATCAAATTCCATTGCACTTTTTCTATAATGTGTTAAAACTCAATCTCTTAGCAAAATTTATAATTGCAAGCGTCTCAAATTTGTTCTTTATTTATTTCTTTTTTATTTCTGCCCTGCTTTAACCTCAACTCCACCTCTTCCTCAGCACGCTATCACACAGAACACATTAGTGAGATAAATAAAGGGTGTGGGGTATTATGCATGAGTGTGTGTGTGTGTGTGTGCTTGCTCAACATGTGCGACACTGACTGCAGATGACGCAAGTGGCAAGGCAGTGCATTGCAGCAGCAGTGATGGGAAGATCTGATTCAGTTCGCCGAATCGATTCTTCATTCTCGCTGTCCAGTGTATCAATGAATCGAACACCCGATTCACCGATTCAGTTCCGTTCATTCTCTGACTATACAACATACCCAGCACAAACACTGAGCCCCAGTCTATAGAGAGGATTACAGTGAGCTCATTTTAATATGATTTTAGGATACATTTGGACATTTTTTATATGTTAACATAACTATAGAGATTTGTTTATAGATTTTTAAAAATATAAATATGTGTATGTACATTAAAAAAAACATTTTTATACATATAACCATAGAAACATTAATCGGGCAAACGAGAAGAATTAAAAAAGAAAACAGAAACAATAAAAAAAATATGAAACATCAATTAAAGAAAGGAGATGTGAGAATCTAGGTGCTATGTTTTAAAACAATTATTTATTTTTTTATTTATAAAATGTATTTTATGACATCTGTTTTTCTTGTTTCTTTTCTTCATTCTGAATGTCACTGTTTTCTTTTAACACCCAGTAAAGCACTTCGAACTGCTCTCTTGTATGTAGGGTGCTATGTAAATTAAAAAAAAAACTACTATTATGATAATAAAAGTCCCAAAAATGATTTACTCTACAACACACACGGCTATCAAGATTCAGTGGTGAATCGGTTCAACTGATTCACTGCAAAGAACCGCTTCAAATCTAATGAACGATTCCTTCCTGCACTAGCCGGTCCGCACTGCTGCTCGTGTGAACGCCGATGCGTTCAGACCGGACCGGCCCGGACAGCAGCTTGTTTAGACGACTTTAACCCAAAAAAGTCACAAATAATCATTTTTACTGTTTTACTTCACAAAATTTAAATCTCCGTTCAACTTCGCTCAGCTATTCGCCAGCTTCGTGTTCCAATTTGCCCGTTCCACCTTAAATGGTGCAGCAGTTACATTCTGGAGCCCCCGGCGCCAGATTATCACTACCGCACTATTTAAGGTGGAACGGAAAATTTGAACAAGAAGCTGGCGAATGAGATTCTGACATTCTACATCTCTCACAGAACTGATTAAAAACTCATCTGTGAGCTCTACTTACCGAAAACGAGGAGAAACACCGAGGAAAGTTGTCGGTTGATATTAAAAAAGACGTTAAATCTCGGCGTTTCCTCGTTGGAGCATCTCACTGACAGAGCCGGGCGGAGAGCAGCGCTGAGAGCCGGTCAGCTTCAGTCTGAACCGGACCGAGCCTGAAGCGCTGGATTACTGACCAGCTCCGATTCTCTCCTCTTTTCTCCCCGCTGCTGCTCTCCTTTCCTCTCTTCTCCTCAGCACATCTTCTCTCCGACTGTCAGCTCCCTGTGTCTCTTTTTCCTTCTCTCAGTACCGGTATGAGCCGGTATTCCAGCGCGTGCGCGCGTGCGCGCGAGCTGCTGCTGTACAGTTTAAACTAAAAGCGTTGGTGGGGGTGGGGGTGGGGGGGCAACACGCCACATGCTAGAGGAGAAATAAATAAATAAAAACACGAACAAATAAATAAATATTTAATGTATAAGTATTTTATAGATGATGTTACCTCTATCTCTGTCTCTCAGTAATTAAACTTTACAAAATGTGAATATATAAAAAAAAATATTACATTTTTACCGCTGTATTATTTAAGTAAAAGCAAAAAATATAAACTTTTAATAGAATAATACAGCATTTAAATACGTAGTAATTTGTGTCATGAGTATATTAATTAAAATAGATAAGTGAAATATTGGTGTTTTTTGCTCTGGGCTGTGAGAAAGAGCACCATCAAACTTTCTCAGCTGTATTAAAAGTCTGGATCTCTGCGCTTTGGCGTCGTCTGAGCCTGTTTGGTGCTCGTGCTGATGCTGACCACCACCGATAAAAGTCACTAGAGCTGCAGGCCGCAGCGCCGGTCGCCTCTCTCCGCCTGTGAGGCTGACTGTGAGCTGCAGAGAGCGGCTGAGTCCGTACCGGGTGGAACAGGTTCATTCCGGTTCTGAGCTGCTGCCACATGGGCGCACAGACAGCGCGCGGCCTGGGGGGGCGAATACTAATGAACTCTGCCCACTTTATCATTGTGTGGATCTGCATCGTCTTTCAGAACATCAGCATCAAAGCAGCAGTTCGAACTGTTTGATTTATTAATCGTTGTTTACACTGAGGAGAATCCTCGTGCTACGTACAGGCCGTCGCTGGGTGACGTCATGCGCCCCGCCCCGCCCCGCCCCCTCCACACTCTGATGGACGGCAGTGTAGAGTCAGTCTGAGTGTGAAGGTTATTTTATATTTATCTGTGTTGCTGGTTTTTGGGCTTTATTCTATTAATCCCCTTTATTAAAGCCTACAGTCTTAAACATGGTTCTTCAAGGGGTCTTCGGTAGAGGCACTGGTTCTGTTTAGAACCATAAATCCTATATAGAACCATACGCATGCTTAAAAGGTTCTTTACATGGTGAAATGGTTCTACAGATTGATGGAGAATGTGTTGTATAGGGTTCTATATAGCACCAAAAAGGGTTCTGCTATTGGTCTGACGCCAAGTTTGTTACATTAGAAGAACCCTATTAGATATTACATAGAACCCTTTTCAAAAAGGTTCTACATAGAGCCATATACAAGGTTAGGGTGTGTGTGTGTATGTGTGTGTTAGGGTGTGTGTGTATGTGTGTGTTAGGTTGTGTGTGTGTTAGGGTGTGTATGTGTGTGTGTGTGTTAGGGTGTATGTGTGTATGTGTGTGTTAGGGTGTGTGTGTGTGTTAGGGTGTGTGTGTGTGTTAGGTTGTGTGTTAGGGTGTATGTGTGTGTTAGGGTGTATGTGTGTGTGTGTTAGGGTGTATGTGTGTGTGTGTATGTTAGGGTGTGTATGTGTGTGTTAGGGTGTGTGTGTTAGGGTGTATGTGTGTGTGTGTTAGGGTGTATGTGTGTATGTGTATGTTAGGGTGTGTATGTGTGTGTTAGGGTGTGTGTGTGTATGTGTGTGTTACGTTGTGTGTGTTAGGGTGTGTGTGTGTGTGTGTTAGGGTGTGTATGTGTGTGTTAGAGTGTGTGTGTGTTAGGGTGTGTATGTGTGTGTTAGGGTGTGTGTGTGTGTGTGTGTGTGTGTGTGTGTGTTAGGGTGTGTGTGTTAGGTTGTGTGTGTGTGTGTGTGTGTGTGTGTGTTAGGGTGTGTGTGTGTTAGGGTGTGTGTGTGTGTGTGTGTTAGGGTGTGTATGTGTGTGTTAGGGTGTGTGTGTGTGTTAGGTTGTGTGTGCAGGTATTTCAGTATTTTCTCCTGTTCTAGAGTTCTCTATAAGAGCGTTCTCAGACTTTCTAAGTTGTATTTTGCTCTGAGGACTGTAGAGCGTCTCTCCAGACGAGTCTCTGCTGGCTCTTAGTACAAAGTCACATGTCAAAGTCTGACAGACGACCTTTGAGTGTTTGTGTGTCTTGTGTTGCAGTGACTGTGGAAAGAACACAAAGTGCACAAATTAGAGCTCTAGGAAAGGTTCAGCAGGTGGAGGACGTGGAGTGAGTGGAGGAAATGCAGTTTTATCTTCCTTTTTTTACGACTGGACACAATTAGACGCCTGGTTTAAAGCTTTTTTCTTACATGTCATGTTCTTTCTGTCAAAGCTTTGTCTGGCAATAAATATAATTCAAGTTACCATGAAGTCGCCACTGTTTATACTCCTCTTTTCTGTTTTAGCAACATCTAGAGAAATGCTATATCTGTTGAAAGATCCATACATCAAATAATATAATTGTGCAGTTTTATAGATTTAGGTAAAATCAGCCAACTTAAAGGAACACTGTCAGTTTAGTATTAGTGTTAATATTGTATATTGTACATATGATTATGTAAATATGAGCAGTTATTATTGTAGTATTTTATGAAAAAGGTTTGCATCAAATAATACTGTAATAAATATGATATCAAATAAAAAAGAAAAAATCCACCAGAACAATGGTTCTTTATAGAAACTAATAAGTGGAGAACCTGTTGATTACAGTTCATTAACCCCTTAAAGGGCCCACATCATGATTAATTATGCTGATTAATTTAAATAAAAGTTTGATGTAGTATGTAAACACTGCCTGTTCATTCTGCCTACAACAGTTTAGCCCTGCCCACTCACACTAAAGTTATAAGGAGTGTTTTAGCCTGGACTGCTCTCTGAATGAAGCGCAGCCAATCAGAATAGAGCTCATTTACATATATCAGTCTTAAAGAAGGGTAACAGAAAAGGCCTGTTTAATTCTAAGGGATGAAAAGAGGCTGTTTTATGACTGTTTTCGGTACACAAAGCCACACAAATAAGTGGATGTCGGGGAAAAATAACATACAAGAAAAATGTTAATAAGGGCCCTTTAAAATATCAGGCTTTTGTCCATTTAGGAGTTAAAGAGCCTTTTAAAAATGGTTCCAGATAACTCCAGAAAGAAACCTTTTTTTATCACTGTTATATAAACATCATAAATTATATATATATACATATAACATTAGGCTCTAAATATATACACATATACACAATATACACATAAATATACACTAGTATTGCACCATTCCCAATATATAGCTTTGTACTATAGGTTGTAATATAGGTTATGAAATAAAAAGCTTTGATATGTACAGTTGTACACATTTCCATATGTGCAGTTAGTGAGTCTGTGGTAGATAAATGAGATGCAGGTACACAGAGGATAGAATATTGATATGTATATGTATATATATTTCATACATTGTATATGTATATGTATATATATTTCATATATTGATATGTATATATATTTCAGATTATACAAGATATGGATAGAAGATGTATAAGATGTCTATCTGTACGTGCAGGTATAGATTTGCTAGATAGAAGCTACAGTAAGATCAGAGTGAGTCTGATTGAGGTGTGAATGCAGTGTTTTGATACCGTATTGGACACTTTTCTCTAGAACAATCTATGGTGTGTTGCTGGATTTGTTGATTTGCTTTCTGGACCTACAAACATTTCGAGAAGCGTACTGTGCTGACCTCAGAAGTCTGGTTAAATTGTCTGAGTGCTGCAGTGCTGACGGGCAGCGGACGTGATCGGAGCCTACAGGCGAAGTTATTCTAAAACACTGCTGACCACTCCTGACAGCCATGGCTGTCATTTTAACTTCCCTGAAATGTCAGACGAGAGGTGAGATGAGTTCATTTGGTTAAAGCTTATAAAACACATGACTTCACTCTCACTCCATAGCTTGCAGGAGGCCACGCTCAGGGGTCACCTGCAGGGCCAGAATTCATGCCATCACATGCAGTAGAGGCACACATATACGTTACTCTTTACATGCTGAAGATAATCATTAAATAAACTAGTAAACTCATCAGAAAGGCTTTAGTGTTGCTTTATGTGGTTTCTGACTCTGTAGCTGTCACACTGTTATATATATATATGTATATATATATATATATATATATATATATACATGAACAGCCTCAGACGGAAACTGTTACCGTTTTTAGCTATGCTAATGTACCTTAGTCCATGTTTTTAGATAGCAGTGTGTCATACAGTGTCAGAAACCACATAAATTTGGAAAATAAGAGAACTATTAAATATTAAAGAAAATGAGAGATTGGCTATGTTGTGCATTAGGTAATTGAACTGTGATTTAGGCAAGCAGTTAGCACCAGGCTAATATGCAGCTATTAGCTTCCATTAGTTGGAATGACAGGAGGGGGAAGCAGAACTAAAGGACACAGATGAATTATTACATTTTTCTTAAAATGAATGTTCTCATATTGCACTGATACATTAATACACATTGTGTTAGAAGCAGATTTAAAGCTGCACTATGTAATATTTTTTGTGTTAAAGCTTGTGTTTTGTGTCATTACTCAGTAGGAGAATATAAACAGGCTAAATTATGGTGAGAGTGTGCTGATGCGAGTCACCCTGTAAAGCCTGAAACACTCATCTAAAAGTCAGAGGAGTTTTTTACTCCACGTTGTACGTCTTTACGTATTAACGTCACACACAGACTCAAAAAGAAGTTCCGGCTCGATGTTTAGGCCTCAAATGATCTCAGAATCAACATCATACTGATGAAGATGTGACGACAGTAGCAGATAATTCACTCACAACCTCAGAGACGCTCCTTCACCAAGTTTAGACTGAGTTCTCTTTGAATTTTCTTTTAATCATCAGATTCATCTACTTGGGGAAGGGGGCCAAAGCGCAACCGAAGCACAACCCATGTTACCAATGTTCTTCTGCATGTTTGCATGCAATTACACGTTTCCACCAGAGAGGTCTCCAAATCCCCAAATCCTACATAAAGATTTGATGTCAAATAACTTTTATTTATTAATATTTGAGATGAAACTTCAATGGCTGTCTACATGGACATGTAAAAATGCCTGTTTTACAAAAAATGTATAAATAAAATCTGATCTCGACAATTATATTAAATTTTTTTTTAATAGTGCTCTTCTGGGCTCAAACGGTGCTCTTACAATGCAGTGACTCTTCCAGAAACAGGTTTGGAGTTCATGCAGTTTGATTACAGATCAGGACAGAAATCTGTGAGGGTGTGATTAAAGTTGCTCATGTGTATAGTTTGAGCTTTTTTATCACAGCAAGGCAACATCACATGAACAGCGTTCCTGTCCTGCTAAGGTCATTGTTATTGTTGGTTTGAATGTGTACATTATGAATAAAATAAATATACAAATATATTACATTAACATAGTTTTGTCTTTCAGTTTACTTTTAGCAGCAATAGTGTTGATATTAATATTGTGCATTCATATAAAATGTTTTTGGCCTAAAATTTACTTTAAAAACACATTCATGTACATGCTGAGGCAAAATAGTCCCCAAAGAAAATGTATCATTTCAGATTTTCCCACTATTTTCCATCATCAACATTCCATATAAACTCAGAAGACTCGTGTAGGTTCACTGGTGGTTCTGGAGGGTAAATAAAATGTCTATATTTGTGTTGTAGTCATGGCGACCCCTGGTTCCTATCACCGTCACTGTAAAGACATCTGAACCTTTTCACATCAAACCACTCTGAATCACTCATCTCTCTATCTCTGTTGCTGTTATTGTTATACTCTTCTTGTTGTCCTACTTAATAAACAAAGACAAGAGACAGATAAATAAATAAAGA